GACCCAGATGAAGCTCCTGACTCCTGGCTTCCACAGCCATCTGGAGAGTAGACTAGCAGACTGAATCTTCAGTCTTTCTCTCTCTCCTTTCCTCTCTCTGTTAACTCTCTCAAATAAATAAATAAATCTTTAAAATATATACATTTCTCGTAAAAAAACTGGGAACTTTTCTACACAGAAAAACCATATGTATTCTTACCCCTCAGATATAACAACTGCCATTTTCTTTTAGACTTTTTTTCTATGAATTTGATTTCAAGTAACAGAAAATCTGATTCAAACCTGTTTAAATAGTGAGGAAAACCTACTGGTTCATATGAATGAAAAGTCTACAGGCAGACTAGTAAGGCTGATTCAGGAGGGGCTTGATCCCACAACTCAGCATGCCATCAAAGTTCCCATTTGCTTTCTTCTGTCTGCTGTGCCTACCTTGGTCTCTGCATCATTCTAGGACTGGCTTGTCTCATGGTCCCAAGATGACTACCAGCATCTTCCTCTTCTCTGGCAAAAAGAGAAAACATTTCATTCTTTGCAAAGTTCTGAGAGTCATTTCTACTGTACTGTATTAGGGTTAATACTCACTAAGCCCAAAGAGATGCAGTGCACAAGTGGCCTAGCTTTGTCACAACAAAGGTGGAGTGACTTCACCTTCTCTAGACGCATATGATCTCTAAAGAGAACATGGTGCTGTTGGAAACAGGAAAGGGAATTTTAAAGAAACTAAATGTTTTTTTAATTTATTTTTTATTTTTGACAGGCAGAGTGGACAGTGTGAGAGAGAGACAAAGAGAAAGGTCTTCCTTTGCTGTTGGTTCAACCTCCAATGGCCGCCATGGCCGGCGCGCTGCAGCCGGCGCACTGCACTGATCTGGTGGCAGGAGCCAGGTACTTATCCTGGTCTCCCACGGGGTGCAGGGCCCAAGGACTTGGGCCATCCTCCACTGCCTTCCCTGGCCACAGCAGAGAGCTGGCCTGGAAGAGGGGCAACCGGGACAGAATTCGGTGCCCCCACCGGGACTAGAACACAGTGTGCCGGCGCCGCAAGGCAGAGGATTAGCCTAGTGAACCGCGGTGCCGGCCGAAACTAAATGTTTTAAAAGAAATTTCATGGGGCCAGCCTTGTGGCATAGTAGGTAAAACCACCACCTGTGTTGTCAGCATCCCATATGGGTGCTAGTTCAAGTCCCAGCTGCTCCACTTCCAATTCAGCTCTCTGCTGTGGCCTGGGAAAGCAGTGGGAGATGGTCCAAGTCCTTGGGCTCCTGCACCCACACGGGAGACCCAGAAGCTCCAGGCTCCTGGCTTCAGATCAGCCCAGCTCCAGCCATTGTGGCCATTTGGGGAATGAACCAATGGATGGAGGACCTCTCTCTCTCTCTCTCTCTCTCTCTCTCTCTCTCTCTCTCTCCCCCTCTGCCTTTCAAACAGAATAAATCTTTAAAAAAAATAAATTTCACAGTTTTAGACACAAACAACATATGTTGTCACCCTTTTATCTTCCTCTTTTTTATTCAACTTTGACTACACTATAAGAATGGTTCAGAGTTTCAACTTTTTAAAAGAAGACCATTCTCAAAATTTCACTCAATAGGCATTAATAATGGTAATTACAGATCTATATGGATTTTATGATGTTAATGTTTATAATTTTTATAGTGTTAATATTAGTAAATGAGGGGCTGGCATTGTAGCATAGTGAGTTAAGCTACATGGGTGCCAGTTTGAGATCCAGCTCCCTGCTAATGCACCTGGGAAAGCAGTTGAAGAGGGTCCAAGTGCTTGGGCCCTTATACCCATGTGGGAGACCGGATTAAGTTCCAGACTCCTGACTTCAATCTGGCACATCCCCATGTGGTTGCAGCCATTTGGGGAGTGAACCAGTGGATAGAAGATCTCTATGTAACTCTGTCTTTCAAAAAAAAAAAAAAAAAAAACTGGTAAATGAAAAGTGTTACTAAAAGTCATGTGTATGAAAGTCATGAGAAAAAAATCAGAACTACTTCATTTTTGGAAAAAAGTAAAATTCACCAATTCACATGTACATCAGACTACCTCAACATGTGTCCTACCTGACCACTGTCACTGAATCAAACCACTTGCTTTATTCCTCCTGTCAATCTGGAGCCACTGGAATTGAGGAAAATGGGGTATCAGCACGTTCAAAAGCTACGGGTCCCATTTACTGTAAGTGGAAGTTAAGATTCATTTACAGGCGTTCCTCCATTGGTCTGTGTAACATTTAGCTCTTCCTCTTTTTTCAGTTAACAATATATTAGAGGTCAGCATCCGGCAGAATCATCAGCAGATGTGATGGTGGAATTAAAAGCTTTTCTAATGGCACTCATTGGTAATTGCTTATTTAAGGATGACTTTTTAATGAAGTCTTTCATCTAGAAAGAGACTATTTCTAGACTGCCTCTCCACAAGCTGTTCTCAGAAAACTCATTCACTTCATACAGATATCTCTTCAAACCACATATTCAGCTCTGCCTTTTCTCTCCCTTGAGCTTCTGTTTTCTCTTTCGGCATCTGCCAGAAAGCTCTATGAACATGTGTTGATTCTTTCATGTGTAGTCAGTTCACAGGATGGAGAGGTCTCTCATGCTCATTCTTCCTGACTATCTAGTTGTTCTCAGACCAACTGCTGAATTTCCTAGAGCCTCAGATGGAGAGGATAACTTCTTTTAGAGGAGACTGAACTAGGTAATTTCTCAAGCTTTTAGATTTTATGTCTAAAACCAGATTCACTACCTTTTGCTTGTAATGGCTTCCTCCACTGAAGTATTTCTTTTCAGATACTAAAAAGATGGAAAGCAATGGAATTTAGGGCTAGAAAAGACTTGGAAGTTATCTCAATTCTTTTTTATTGTAATGGATCAATAAATACATAGGTTCATTAACATCTTCCTCTTTAGCCCTGCTAGTGAGCTCCATCACTACATAATGTCTCTCAGGCCTGTTCCATTCTTGTCACTGTCATCATCCCAGAGCACGTCTCCATTTCCTTCTGTCTTGGTTCTTCCCAAAGTTACCACACTTTCTTGCCTTAAATATCTCAACAAATTCTGGGAGTGCTTCCAGATTACACATCAAAAACTAGTGTGACCATTATGACATATTCCTTTGGGAAAGTATTTAATGGCTTTACTGTGGTCAAAGGATAAGGTTCAAACTAACTCAAGGAAGCAACTTACTTTTCCAGACCTATCTTCCAGTATTCCCTTAACTAAAGTTCAGTATTTAATTGAATTAATCTTCAAACTTTCTAAACAGAAATCCTGTCAGCCATGAGAAAACTGTAATGCCCTCAACAGCTCAAGCTGGGCCAATCTGAAGCCAGGAGCCAGGAGCTTCTTCTGGGTCTCCCACATGGGTGCAGTGGCCCAAGGACTTGGGCCATCTTCCACTGCTTTCCCAGACCATAGCAGAGAACTGGATGGAAAGTGGAAAAGCTGGGACTCAAACTGGCACCCATATGGGATGCGGGCACTGCAGGTGGCACTGGCTCAGGGCCAGTGCTGTGGTGTAGCAAGTGAAGCCATTGCCTTCAGTGCCAGCATCCCATATGGGTGCTACTTTGATTCCCGGCTGCTCCACTTCTAATCCAGCTCTCTGCTATGGCCTAGGAAAGCAGTAGAAGATGGCCCAAGTATTTGGGTCACTGCACCTGCATGGGCGGAGGAAGCACCTGGCTCTGGGCTCCTGGCTTTGGATTGGTCCAGCTGTGGCCATTGAAGCCATCTGGGGGGTGAACCAGTAGACCGAAGACCTCTCTCTCTCTCTCTCTCTGCCTCTGCTGTTACCTTGTCTTTCAAATGAATAAATATGTAAAAAAAATTTTTTTTACAAAGCTGGATTCAAGAGAAACAAAGCAGTTACAAGTGAAAACAGAAAACAAACAAGTGATCAGGTGCACAATGCATGCCTTTTCTAATTTTAATATCTGCTCATTTTTACTTGCTTTCAAATCCTTGATCCTGTGTTCTTGGCAATCTATACAGTTATCTTTGCCCTAAAGCTGCAGAGATGATTTAAAAAAATTGAAGTTGCCAGACAAGTTAAAGATGCAAAACAATGCTTGTGGAGACACCAACCGGGATCGGGTTATAAATATTTTTAAATTTGAAATAACTTTGATTAGAAAAGGCTGATCCAACTACAGAGCTTCTTCAGGTTTCCAAGTGGCGCACCATGCTAATATCCACGGCGCCTTAACTTAAAGCTCTGGAAGTTTCCTCGTTATACAACCAATTCCTTCTCAGAATACTTAAGTAGCTCCCGCCCCCGGCTTGAAATGCAACCAGTCTCGGACAGGTCCCATATTCTAAATCCAGCTTAGGGCTAACTAAAGCTTTACAGTCCTTTTTATCTCTTAAGGTCAAAGTACACTGCCGTGGGAACGGCGGAACGCAAGATTTTGACGGAGGTCTGAGTGTAGGTCCTTGCTTTTAAACTTTATGCTATAAAATAATAACAAAAATATTCTAACCAAAAGAGTAATTGCCGGATCACACGAGGCTAAGCTTAGGTAGCGGAAAATCAAACTGGGAATCCCCCACGGCGCCGCCATTTTGCCGGCCTCCGCCGGAAGTCTGCCGGGGGAGGCTCGCGGCCGAGGGGGCGGGACCTGAAGGCGGGATTGAGGAACGTGGGCTCAGAGGCCTGGGGCCCCGGGCGAACTGGGCGGGGGGCTCTAAGAAGAGTCTCGAGGCCAGGGGCGGGGCTTGAGGGTGGAGGGTCTGACTCAAAAGCTGAGATAGTGGGCGGGCCTGGGGGCGGGCAGAGGCAGTCTAGAAGAGGAACCTCAAGGACCGGGGCGGGACCTGACGGAGGAGCCGGAGTTTGAGGCTGGGGGCGGGACCTGAAGGTGGGGCCTGAGGGCGGGGCGTGGGCTCTTGAGGAGAGGCCCGAGGCCAGGGCGGGGTGTGGGGGCGGGGCCAGAGGGCTGGGTGGGGGCCTATGAGGACAGGTCTGAGGCTGGGGGCGGGACTGGAGGCTGGGTAGGGGCGGGACCGAGCAGCCGGCGCCGGGAGGGGCTGACAGGGCCGCAGCGGCTCGCCCCGGCCTCACTTTCTCGCAACGTGCGTGAGCTGCAGCTGCCGGCCACCAGCGGCGCTCAGCGAAGAGGGCTGGGTGCGGGAGATGAGGGTGATTTCCTCCCGGCTTGGCCTTCTACGAGCATCGACACCTGTCTCCTCGAAGCGCACGGGTTGCGGACGTAGCAGGTAAGATGGGCCCCCGGGGAGCGGACCTGTCGGGTCCTGGCTCGGCCCTACGGGGACCCGGTGCTCTCGCCCCCGCCCCTCAGTTCTGGGCAGATGGGCAGCAGCCGGCCCTCCACGCCCTGGCGCCGCGGCCCGCTGCCCCCGCCTGCCCGCCTGTGCCCGCAGCGCCTGCCACCGGGGAGGCTCGCGCAGGGGAGGGGGCGGCTTGTGCCCTCTGGGGCCTGACTTGCGGTCCCCGATGTGGGGGTGCCTCTACCCTGTCATCCTCGGCCTCTCCCCTGTATCCTGAGGGTGGCTCGGTGTCTGCCTCTCCAGAGAACCTCTGCCCAGGTACCTGGAGCGTTGCTCCAAAATTTCTTCCTTAACCCTTTTGGGTATGTTAGTTACCGTGACGTAGTGACCCTCACCTCCTCGGGCAGCTGAGCGACCTCCCCAGGCTGCCTTCCAGGTGCTGTCGGGCGGCACCTACCCTCTGGGCAGCCTGTTTGCTTGGGGGACTCCCGCACCCCTTCTGTTGGAAGGCCGGAGTCCGTCCGCGCAGACTGGGGAAGCAGTGCTGAGCGCTCCCGCGCTCCGGCTCTCCCCGAGAGCGGGCAGGAGTGGGTGAACGGGGTGACTGTTGGTGTTGAAGACTGCTTTTCCCATGGGATAAAGGATATTTGGGTGTTTGAGAGAGAGCCCAAGAGTGTAACGCTTTCTCTTTGAAGTTAATCACCCCTACTTCATTTTCACTTAAGATAGCAGTTACTTAACATTTTCAGTGGCTCACTGTTAACTAAGCCAAATATAATGTAGCTTTCTCTAGCCACTGCCCCGGGGAGTGGTCTTTTACTGTGACAGGTCAACTAACTTCTTCTATAACAAGCCTTGTTTTTAAAGATGAAAAAATTGCATGCGATTTTTTTTAAATCGATGTGGCTCCTGTTCATTTTAAAATATGCGTTAAAAAGTATATTTTCTTCCCGTTTAAAAAATACTAAGATGAGTTAAACTTGTAAGTCCTTTTGACTTCCCTCAGTTGGAAGCATTGCTTTTGTTAATATTGGAAAATGTTAGAAGAAACCTCGTGGAAAAGTGCATATCACTTTCCAAAAGTTTTTCTTCCAATTTTCAGCTAATTGAAAGTTAAAGCTGGGCATTGCTACGATTTGACCATCAACCAGAGGGAAAATGAAGTGCTCTCTCTTCACTATTAACAACTACTTAATATCGGACTAAGTTAAATTCAACACCTCCTAATTGTTCAGAAATTCATAACTTCATGACGCTTCCAGAGTAACACAAGTATCTTTGAAGAGCTAGCCATAGGACAATGAATTTTATTTGCTTTGTTAAGATTCTTATTATTACCAGAACTACAGCTTCTAATAGCAATTGCTATCATTTCTAGAAGGCCTACTCTGTGATAAGCTTTGAATAAAATATCCACACAGTAGCCCTCTAAGGAAAATTTTTGTTTTTGTTTTTGTATTTGAGAGGTAGAGTTAGAGACAGAGAGGGAGAGACAGAGACAGAGGTCTTCTGTCCATGGTTCACTCCCCAAATGCCTACAATGGCTGGAGCTGGGCCCATCCGAAGCCAGGAGCCAGGAACTTCTTCCTGGTCTCCCTTGTGGGTGCAGGGACCCAAGGACTTGAGCCATCTTCTGCTGCTTTCCCAGGCCATTAGTAGAGAGCTGGATCAGAAGAGGAGAAGCTGGATGTGAACTGGCACCATTTGGCATGCCGGCACCACAGGCAGAGGCTTAACCTACTACATACGCCTCAGCACTGGCTTCTGAGGAAGGTTTTTACTGCCATTTTTTTTAAAGATTTATTTATTTATTTGAAAGTCAGAGTTACACAGAGAGAGGAAAGGCAGAGAGAGAGAGAGAGAGGTCTTCCATCCGATGGTTCACTCCCCAGATGGCTGCAACGGTCGGAGCTGCGCTGATCCAAAGCCAGGACCAGGAGCTTCTTCTTGGTCTCCCACTTGGGTGCAGGGGTGCAAGGTCTTGGGCCATCTTCTACTGCTTTCCCAGGCCATAGCAGAGAGCTGGATTGGAAGAGGAGCAGCCGGGACTAGAACCCGCACCCATATGGGATGGCGGCGCTTCAGGCCAGGGCGTTAACCCACTGGCGCCGGCTCCTTTACTGCCATTTTGTAGTTGAAGAAACAGATTTAGGCTAAGTGATTGGCCCATGGACTTGATAAGGAATAAAACCCAGAACTTAACTCTTTTCACTGGACTGCTATTTTAGCTAAAACTGTTGATTTAAAAAGTCTCTCTGTCTAACCCTGGCTGTCAAAAAAAAAAAAAAAAGTGATTGGAATACATTGAAATGTTTGTGTGGTATAAATAAAGGGGTCTGAGCAGTGTGAGTCATTACTTCAGGTGAAGAGATAGAGCGAGCTTTTGAAAAACATCAGAAGACTGGGCTAGTTCGTCACCTTCAGCACTGCCCTTCCAAGTCAACAGTCTTAAGGGTTCCAAATGTTCAACGCCTTTGTTGAATTGTTTACCAGCTTCTTACTTCAAGTATGGGTATTTGTGCCCACTAGTAGCTTTCCCAGGGTATAATTTGATGCTTATTTGGTAGACTTCAAGTATGTGAGTATTACAGGTTTTGTGTATATTGACCACTCCTGTCTAATCCTGGTAGAAAAATACTTGTCCTAATCCAGATTAAATGTAAGGTTTTTAAATGGTTTTGTTTATACCAGGGCAACACAGAGAAAATTCGCGTACACACCCCCACATATCAGTTGTTGGTGATTGGTGATCTCTGGCCTCCGTGTGAGGCTTCTTAATGTGCTGTTGATGTTTGAGAACTTGACCTGGGCATTTCAGGAGGCATGAGCTTTTATACTTTGTATGTTATGTAAGGCCACTTTATATGGTAAACCCTGAATAATCGCTTAAGATTGGCAATTTTCAACATATTAAATTCAAGTTATTAATAAAAGCTGATTAGTTTCAGAGCTGGCCAAAACTTGTGTTCGTTGTGTCCCTTGGCAGTAAGAGGAGGTTTGATAAAATTATTGTAATATTTTGGTTTTGTGTGTGTGTGTGTGCAAATTGTTGAAATCTTTATTTAGTATAACATTGGTCTTCTGCGTATAAAGTTAATTTAAAATTAATCTTAATAGAGAATGGAACTGGGAATGGGAGAGGGACACGATGGTAGGGTGGGAGGGCAGGTATGGTGGGAAGAATCACTATATTGCTAAAGTTGTACTTAAGAAATTTGTACTCCTTAAATAAAGGGTTTCTTTGGGAAGAAAAAATTATTGTCATATTAGCATGAAGGACTTGTTCCTTGTTTTAGCATTTTGTGAACATCTTTAGAACATTTTCTAGCACACTTTGAGTTCTTTAACATTTTATGAACATCTTTAGACCATTTTTAAGACACATTTTGTGTTCTTGAGCCTGTTGCTGTACTGAAAAATTTAGACTACTTGATTGCTAAAAAAAAAAAAAAAACAAAACAAAAAAAAAAAAACTACTGTTCGTGAATTAGATAATGCCTGAAAAAGCACATTGATTCATGAAGGGATAAGAGGTTTATTTAATCATTCATTAAAAAATTTCTTTTTCAGCATCTCCTGTGTGCCAGGTACTGTGACTTGTTAGGGACCCATTAGCATGACAAAATGTGCATAATTCTTGCTGTGTGACATTTGCAGCCTAGTCAAAGAGATAGGCATATATCAAAATAGTCACTGTAATGCGGAGTATAATTATAAACCACAAAAAGCCTCCTAAAGGTAAAGATCATGGTTCTGTTTGGGAAAGAATCATGACCTTAATGTGGGGTGAGAGAAGCCTGACCTGATGAAATGAGTCAGGAACTGCAGGATTTGGAGGATGAGTAGGTGTTAATCATGTGGAAAGTGGCAGATGGTTAGAGAAGAGAACGCTTTAGAGTGCACCGCATGTGCCAAGTCCCCAGGCGTGAAGGGACGATGACACCAGTATGTGTGGCTGGGGTAAAAGCAACTACGAGTGAGTTGGTGGCATTCTATCATTTTGTTCATTTTCTCCCTTACAGTCTCTGAAAGTTCTGTTTAAGTTTGGTTAAGTGATTACTGTGTGCTGAATGTGACTGCAAGGTGAATGCATGTTCATCTCACGTCCCTGTGAGGTAGATACCCTCTTTGCCCTTTCACAGATGAGGAAAGTGAGCCCAGCAAAGTTACAGTTACTGATTCAGAGTTGCTAAGTGAGCCTCTGCTATGTTCTTCCTGATCCTCAAGTCTGCGCGCAGGCTGGAAAGGACCCTCGGATCCCACTGTGGCTCCTCAACGCAACCCTGAGAACTTGCGCAGTTCCCAGAGGATCTGGACTCAGGTGGACATTCAACAGCGGCCCTGGGGTCCCCGTGCTCTCGCACCACAGGATGGAGCTCCGTGGTGGATCGCTGAAGAGACGCACAAGGCATCACCGCAGCTGTAGTTTGGCTCTTGTGTCTGACTGAATACAGAATAGCAACGTAAATGTTTTGAGCTGACCTGCCTGTGAGAGGAAAGAGGTTATTAACCAACTCTCGCTTTTTTTCATTGTATCTTTCCCTGGTGGTATTTGAAGAAAGCATATGTATTTACTTGGCCAGAGAACTTTAGATTTACAATGTTTCATTTCAACTAGAGTTCTGATTGCTTGTCACTCTGACCCTCTGTTTTCTTTGCAGAGACCTGGTTGGAGGTGGAGGGTGACAGAAAATGCATTCTTTTTCTAATTTACCTGCAGAGAACTCAACCATTGCAGTCAACATGACTGAGATTTGGTCTACAACAGTAACACATGGATTTAATGCTACTAATGACTCACCTTCAATGGCAATAACAAGGCTTTTCCCAGCCTTACTAGAATGCTTTGGCATAGTCCTTTGTGGCTACATAGCAGGAAGGGCCAATGTCATAACATCAACACAGGCCAAAGGACTGGGAAATTTTGTCTCCAGATTTGCACTTCCAGCTTTATTATTCAAAAACATGGTTATACTTAATTTTTCCAATGTGGATTGGGCTTTCCTGTATAGTATCTTAATCGGCAAAGCTTCCGTATTTTTCATTGTGTGTGTATTGACCTTGTTGGTCGCCAGTCCTGACAGTCGATTTAGCAAAGCTGGACTATTCCCTATTTTTGCTACACAAAGTAATGACTTTGCATTGGGATACCCTATAGGTAAGTTATTTTTTTATCTGTCAAGTTTTTAAAAAACTCGGGTGTTTTAGCATATAAACTATGCATGCTTCTCATTTATCTAGACATTTGTTAGTGACCAGTTCTTACTATTCTAAGAAACCTTTCATGTTTTTTTTTCTTAAATGTATCTTAAATTGAGATGAGTTAGATTTTCCTTCAGCTTCAGAGATTGAGGATCCTCTAAACACCTACGTAAAATAAATGACCATAACCTAGTAACCTCTGGGAATACTCTTTCATTATTAAAAAATTAGCAGGGGGAATTCATGAGTAATTTTTCTCCTTCCTTTTCTTACCATCTAAAATATATGTTATTGTACATTAACATTGTTTTTGATCTTGTTATCCAAACTTGACTGTATTGCTTGGAGTTCACTTTTTGTGTGAGAATAAAGATGATGAGGGCTCTTTTACCTTCACAGCTTTTCCTTTTTTACCCTCCCAACTCTTTAAGCAGCCTAAGTTTATGTTTCTATGTGTGTATGTTTTCCTGATAGAACAGTGAACACCAATATGGGATGTTGGGATGTTTTGAAAGGGAACAAACGTTGTGTTTTTCAGAACACTGCCACAGAGAAAATAAGTATCTAGTAACTACTTTTTTATATAACTTTAAATTAAAATTATGCACCCTTTGATCTTGTATCATGATGTAAAGACATGAATATTGTGGATGTATTCATTCATTCTTCACTTACTCATAGGAACTGTTACATAGATGGTGCTAGTTGCTGTTCACTCATGTGAACAAAATTCTTATACATACTGAGTTTACATTTTATTCTTTTTGTTTTATTAATTTTTTTTGAAGATTTATTTGTTTGAAAGACAGAGTCACAGAGAGAGAGGAGAGACACAGAGACCTTCCATCTGCTGGCTCACTCCCCAAATGGCTGTAATGGCTGGGGTTGGGCCAGGCGGAGGCCACAAGCCAGGAGCTTCCTGGGCCCAAGGACTTGGGCTATCTTCTGCTGCTTTCCCAGGCTCATTAGCAGGGAGCTGGATTGGAAGTGGAGAAGCCAGGACTCAAATTGGTGCCAATATGGGATGCTGGCACTGCAGATGGCAGCTTAAACCACTGCACCACAGCACCACAGCACTGGCCCCTGAGTTTACATTTTAATGGGAAGATAAATAATAAAATTAAAATTGTATCAGGTAGCAACAATGGCCATAAAAAATAAAGTAGTACAGGGGGATAGGAATAAAGCGGTGCTATTTGAAGTGGGCTTCTCTGTTGACATGTCTTCTAAGCAATGACTTGAAGAGAACTTATTCATGTGTACAAGTGAAATCTACCATTAACTTTTTTTTTTTTTTTAATTTTCATTTATTTTCACTTTGCTTGAAAGGCAGAGAGACACAGAGGTCTTCTATCCCCTGGTCCACTCCCTAAATGCCCATGACAGCTGGGGCTGAGCTAGGCTAAAATTCTGAGCCCAGAACTCAGTCTGGATCTCCCTCATGGGTGGCAGAGACCCAAGTACTTGAACCATCATGTGCTGCTTCCCTGGGTGCGTGTTTGCAGGAAGCTGGGGATCAGGGGCAGAGGTGGGACTCAAACCAGGCATTCTGGCATGCTTAGCCACTGTGCCAGACTCCCACCCCTTTCTTTCTTTCTTTCCTTTTTTTTTTTTTGACAGGCAGAGTGGGCAGTGAGAGAGAGAGACAGAGAAAGGTCTTCCTTTGCCATTGGTTCACCCTCCAATGGCCGCCACGGCTGGCCCGCTGCAGCCGGCGCACCGTGCTGATCTGATGGCAGGAGCCAGGTGCTTCTCCTGGTCTCCCATGGGGTGCAGGGCCCAAGCACTTGGGCCATCCTCCACTGCCTTCCCGGGCCACAGCAGAGAGCTGGCCTGGAAGAGGGGCAACCGGGACAGAATCTGGCGCCCCGACCCGGACTAGAACCTGGTGTGCCAGTGCCGCTAGGTGGAAGATTAGCCTAGTGAGCCGCAGCGCCAGCATACCCCTTTGAAGTTTCTTATCTAGTAGTTTTCTCCTCTCCGCATCCTTAGCTTTTTCACCACTGACCCCAAGATTCTAGTGAACTATGCTTTTCATCTTCTTCTTCCACCTTTGGCATTCCTCCATCTTGTTTACCAGAAACAGAGAAGTACCAAGGAAATCAAATAAAGCAGGAGGTTTAAGAGGGAGGGAAAAACTAGACTCTTAGGTAACTAAGCTGGGAATAGTCAGAAACTAGATAGACGTTCCTCTAAGGTTGTCGAACTTTAAAATGAAATGAAAACTCCTGGAAATAAAAGGAGTCAATGTGTTTGTACGTTTCCTCAGGGGAATTAATAATGTAAATGCGTCAATATATTTATGGCATAATGATCTTAGATGTGGCTTAGTGCCATAGTATTAAATATTTAATAATAAATATTGCTAGATAAAACTTTAGACGTGAAATAGAAATAGATAGTGTCAAACTCTTATAGATTAGTAAGTCCACAACTAAATAGAACTATCACTTGTAACTATAATTTTTTTAAAAGATTTATTTATTTATTTGAAAGTCAGAGTTACACAGGGCAGGGTGGGGGCGTCTTTCATCCAATGGTTCACTCCCCAATTGTTCGCAACACCCAGAGCTGTGCCGATCAGGAGCCAGGAGCTTCCTCTGGGTCTCCTATGTGGGTGCAGGGGCCCAGGGACTTGGGCCATCCTGTACTGCTTTACCAGGCCATAGCAGAGAGCTGGATTGGAAGTGGAGCAGCCAGGTCTCAAACTGGCACCCATATGGGATGCCAGCGCTGCAGGCAGTGGTCTAACCCACTACACCACAGTGCCAGCCCCTTGTAACTAAAATTTACAGAGTACTTTCCTAAATATTCACTTCCTTTAAGTAGGGCAGATATTATTATCCTCATTTCCAAATAAGGAGACAGGCTTACAGTGATTTAGTTGTTTTATCCCAGGTTACACAACTAGCAGGTGACTGAGACCCAGACCTAGATCTTCTGGTTCTAAATCTTGGACATTTCTTATACCACACAGCAATACAACATGCCAGTCTTAGAGGACTCAACCAGTCCTTGTAGTACATTAGTGTCAAAGAGAATCAAAGTTTTTTTCCTTGTGATATTCCATGAAATTAGTAGTAGTTGAAGAATACCTGTTAGATGAGTAAATCCATTTTCATACTGAGGCATAATCTTCAAATAAACAAAAGGAACAGCCATTTTCTTTATTGCTCTTTCTATGTCCAGTGTAAAATCAGTGAATCTGGTAATAATTGTGTTCCTAGCAGTGAGCTAGCCCACATCGCCCTGCTAACTATATCTGTCAGTTTCTGAGTTGTAGTTTTTGGTTTTCTTTCTTAACCACAATTAGCAAGAGCTCATGTAACATCAGATTGTAGCCTGTGGCTTTACTGAAAACCAGCAGTATAGACAGCAGTGCTCTCTCGCCAACAGACTGGCAGTTGCTGCAAGCCCTGACAGGGCCGAGTGTGTCTCGTCTGATGAGGATGTTTGTGGTACTGTTTGTGCCCATCTGCCTTCTGCCCGTGCGCAGAGCGGACGCAGAAGACCGTCTCTGGAGAGAAAACCTTTCCGTCTACTCTGCAGCCCCTCCCAAATCCTCACTCTCTTCTTCTTCTTCTTCTTCTTCTTTTTTTTTTTTTTTTTTTTTTGAAAGGCAGAGTGGGCAGTGAGAGAGAGAGAGACAGAGAGAAAGGTCTTCCTTTGCCATTGGTTCACCCTCCAATGGCCGCCACGGCTGGCCCGCTGCAGCCGGCGCACCGTGCTGATCTGATGGTAGGAGCCAGGTGCTTCTCCTGGTCTCCCATGGGGTGCAGGGCCCAAGCACTTGGGCCATCCTCCACTGCACTCCCTGGCCACAGCAGAGAGCTGGCCTGGAAGAGGAGTAACTGGGACAGAATCCGGCGCCCCGACCGGGACTAGAACCTGGTGTGCCGGCACCGCAAGGCGGAGGATTAGCCTAGTGAGCTGCGGCACCGGCCCTCACTCTCTTTTACAGAGAGGGGCATCAGTTGTGGGTTGTGAGAAATGTCCTTTTTAAGACTGCCTTTATGCCACAACTGTCCTATTTACAGGTGACTCAACATATTGGCAAGGAGCAGGTAGATAAGTTAATGAATAAACAAAAAGGATAGTCATGTTTCCTTTTCCTGTAAGTTACACAATCATAATGGTCTATAAAATTACATTACAGTGATTTATCCTTACTCAAGTGACAATATAATACATTATTGCAGACCAAAGAAGCAGCTCACTATTTATAAGAATGGATCTTTTGAGAAGTACTTTTAAATATCCAAATGTGAGGAGAAACCAAGAATCTACCAAGGTGAAATGTTGATTTCAGCAAACCTGAGTGGTTCCCTGCCTCTGTCATTAAAAGATACTAATAGGACATAGTTAAGTCCTATAATTTATTCTTCAAACAATGCTGATAGCATAAGTACCCTGACTAATCATAATTATGCTCTAGTGCTTGAGCTGTAAACAGAAAGGAAATGAAGCATTTAACTCTACGCCATTAAATATAATAGAATGATCTTGTCAGGGTCTTTGTGTTATTTGCTAGGGATTGAAACCCTGCAGGAATCAAAATAGGAGCCACAGTAGGTGGCTAATTTTGTCTCTTCGTTTTTCAAAGCTATATAATAACTCCTCATAATGAGATTCCCCCTCCCTCCAAGAGCCTTACATATAAGCATTAATTAATTAGAATTTAATAGTTGATATTATGATTATATATTTTATTTTAGTTCCTAGAGGTCACTGCTTTTATGTGTTTTTTTTTTTTAGATTTTATAAACCATCTTCAGATTGATAACAAAAGAAGAGCACTGCCAATTTATGAAAGAAGATACAGTGTTAATTATGCAAATGAAGGCAGAAATAGACTAAAATTCCCATGTTGAACCCTATTCTAGTAATTTAACAAGTATTTATGTAATCACAATTTTTTCCTCTCCCACTAGACCATACTTCTTTGCCTTTGCACATTTGCTCAACCAAGTTAAAAATAAACCAATATTAACCTGTTTTGTAAATATTTAGGATGTATACAAGAAAGAAAAAGTTTATGAAATTTCATCGAAGCAAGAGGAGAAAGTTCAAGAAATCTGTTGTACAACATGGTGTCTATGGTTAATAATAACATTGCATTAAATTTTTTTTTTTTAGATTTATTTATTTATTTGAAAGGCAGAGTGCCAGGCAGAATCCAGCAGCCAGGAGATTCTTCCAGGTCTCCCACATGGGTGCAGGGGCCCAGGGACTCGGCCATCTGCTGCTTTCCCAGGCACATTAGCAGGGAGCTAGATCAGAAGTAGAGCAGCTGGGACTTGAACTGGCGCCCCTATAGGATGCCAGTGCTTCAGGCCACGGCTTTAACCCACTGCACCACAGCGCCCCACCCAAATAAGTTTTCACAGGGATACAAAAAAAATGGATTACTGATAACAATTAGATGTAAATTTCTATGTGTTCAAAAAATACATTTTACTGCATCTGAAACTTTTGATGCTCCTTGCCATGTCAGTTAATTCCATTTGGCAAGTGTTTTCAGACTTGCTCAGCACTGTGCTAGACTGTGGGTTGGAGAAGTGTGTCTGCCAGGGGCTCAGAAGTTGGGGTAGCACTAAGAAACAAAGTGCCATAGTATTCCAGAGAGAGGGAGACCCATGCCACAGACTGAAGACTTGCTGGAAGTGTTGCAAAGAGGCCAGCCTTAGGTAGTAGGCAGGAATCAGGTAAGAAAGGAAAGATGTCAAGAAGCTGGAGGTGTGCTAGTCTAGTCTGATTCGCATGCAGAGCTGGAATTAGGAGCACAGTGACAGTAAACTGCCTCATGGAGTCTGCATTAGGGAGCAGTGAGGGAGGAGTTGGAGAAATAAGCAGCACGTGTGGAGACTGGGCTCTGAATATCCAAAGAAAGCTGTTACAGTTCTTCCTGTAGGCGTGAGAACTCTGGGAAAATGTTCACTGTTGAAAGATTTTGACTTTTCAAAGTTAAGATTTACATGGTACTGTTGGCAGTGAGCGAAGGGGATGACTGAGAAAAAACAAAAGAGTATAGGTTGGGAAACACATGAAGTAATCTAATGTTGGGATTTTTGACAAATAATAATAATGGTGGAAATCAAGAGAAAATACAGAATAACCTACAAAAGAAAGGCAGTACAGTAGGTCTCCTTATCTGCTGGGGATACAGCGCATGCCTGAAACCCTACATAGGGTGTTTTTCTTTATGCATACAGATCTAAGCTAAGTTTCAATTTATGAATTAGACCCAGTGAGAAATTAACGACAACTTAAAATAGAACACTTGTAACCATACACTGTGATAAAAGTTATGGGGATGTGGTTGGTCTCACTCTCAGTATCTCATTGTACTATGCTCCCCCTTCTTGTTGACCCTGGGTAACTGATTCGATGGAGAGCGAAACCAAGGATTAGGGGACTCAACCATACTTGGTGACTGGCCAGCCATAGGTAATAAAAACTGTTGCTCAAATTTACATTGAGCTCTTGGAATAATCTAGAGTCTATTATGTGGCATTACTAAAGTGCCAGCAAAGTAAATTTCTATTCCGGAAAAGGGCATTACAGATAAGGGGCTTTGAATAGAGCAAAGAAAGATAGCTGTGACTTGTCACAAGAAACACCTTCACTTTTTATTGTGGCCACTTAAGAAAAATTCTTGTACGTAGATTGAAAACACAAGACTTCCAGAATATATACTCTACATTAAAAGTTGAGTGGTGCGGGCCGGCGCCGCGGCTCACTAGGCTAATCCTCCGCCTAGCGGCGCTGGCACACCAGGTTCTAGTCCCGGTTGGGGCGCCGGATTCTGTCCCGGTTGCCCCTCTTCCAGGCCAGCCCTCTGCTGTGGCCAGGGAGTGCAGTGGAGGATGGCCCAGGTGCTTGGGCCCTGCACCCCATGGGAGACCAGGAAAAGCACCTGGCTCCTGGCTCCTGCCACCGGATCAGCGCGGTGCGCCGGCCGCAGCGCGCCGGCCGCGGCGGCCATTGGAGGGTGAACCAACGGCAAAGGAAGACCTTTCTCTCTGTCTCTCTCTCACTGTCCACTCTGCCTGTCAAAAAAAAAAAAAAAAAAAAAAGTTGAGTGGTGGGCAGGTATTGACACCTTTCTTTTTTGAGGTAGAACATCTAATCAGAAGTAGAGCTATTTAGAAATAGTTATCAAAAGTCCTGCTTTTTTTAGTCAAAAGATGAAACCTGACAACACATGAAGGAAACCCACTGAAAGAGTGCTAGCATACCTTATTTAAAAATCAGTGAAAGAAGAATTTATGAAATCTTATGTGATTAAATATTTTTTTTAACCACGGCTTTATTTTGGAGATATAGACCTCTGTATGTGCTTAGCTGACAAAAGAGGGATTGAATCTTATAAAAAGTAGGTTTTTAGCTAATGAGAACAAGGTGAACTTCTGCAGGTTGTATAATCTAGTTGCATAACATTAATGAGTCATGTGCATGGTGGTAACTGAACTTATGTATCCTGAGTAAGTAAACAAATATATTTTCCTCCCCATGTCACTCTTTCTAAATGTAAGTTGAGAAGTTTAATCTTTTACACTTTTTCACACAATTGCATCTCTCCTTGTAATTGTGGCTATTCATTTTTTATCTTTTATCTCAACTTCAAGTCAGTTATGAATCAGCCTTTATAGGTAGCAGGTTGGATAATTTGGGGATCCATTGCCAAAAATGTGCCTAGAGACTGGGTTGTTTGCTCCAAGGCTCTCAGTCGCCTTGGCCAGGCCACTAACACTCATCTCTACCAGGCAACCGCTAGAAGTCTGATGCAACCCCCTCTCCTCTCCTACATGTTGCACAGTGATCAAGTCCTGAAGTTATCTTATAGACTCAAGCTCTGGAAAAATCCCTTAAATCTCCCATGAAATACTCATGCATCCTTTCTAGCGCACCATTCTTGTACATCTAACACAGCCAGTTCTCTTTTTCTCCAGCCGTGCTTGTCAGTGAACAACAGGTGAAGCGATTAGCTTGCACTTGAGAACATGCTATATGGAAAAAAAAGAAGCCTGTGTTTTCCCAAGAGGGGAGAGTCGAATTTGCACTTCTTATTGAATCAGCACTGTTGTGACTCCCTGTATTCCCCTCCCGAACATTTCTTGGAGCCAGCTTTCTCTCCCTAGTTCAGAACCCTCACTGGGCTTCCCTGCCAGCACTCACATGGCAGCTGTTCCTCTCCCCGCAGCCCACAAACCTTCTGCTCCTCCTGCTCCTCCTGCTCAGTTACCTGCACTGCTGCTAGGCCATCGTGCTCAGCTCTGGGAACAACTGCTTTGAAGTGTATGCCGTCTGGCTCAACTGCTCATCCTCGTTGCCATCATCTTCTAACCTCGTTCCGGTCATTTCCCCTCATTGATTGAAGATGTTAATACTCAATTCGCTGTTGTCATCCTTATCCCAAGTTTTACCACTATCTTGTCTCACTTTAGCACCCTTGTGAACTTCTCATTAAATTCTCTGCCCTCCTGGTTCCTGGATCTCCTCATTTCCGGTGGTATCTACTCCATTTCACCAACTCCAATGGCCATAGTCAGCCGGGAAATCTTACACTTAATAGCTCATTATCTGTCCTGCTCCACTAAACTTCCAACTGCACTGAATTCTTGGACTTTCTAGGGCCCTGCAGTCTTTGGCCCTTCTTTCTGTCAGCCATCTCCCACCTTCACTTCTCTTCCTGTACAGTGTGGGCTCCATCACTTCAGTGGTCATGTTTTAGTCCTTTGTCTCCTACTCTCTCTCTGCAATCCTCTGTAATCTGACATCTGCTTATCAAGCCAGTGAAACTGCTCTCTTCACAGGTACAAACAATTGCCTTATTGCTATTGCTGCTTAAATATTTTGTTTGCTACTAGATTTTTGCATTGAATTATTTCTTTCTAAAATTCTGCATTTTTTGGAAGCTAATCTTAGCCCTTAGATGGTAAAAATTAGCTAGGTCTTGCTGAATTTTTAAAGTTGGTTATCATTTAAAATTTTGGTTTACAGTATGCTATAATTAAAATTTATTAGGGAGGAGGAGAGAGAGAGAAAGATGGAGAGATATTTCCCATGGCTCCCCAAATACCTACAATAGCTAGGGCTGGGCCTGACCAAGCCAGGAGCCTGGAACTCAGTCCTGGTCTCCCATTGCGAGTGTCAAGAACCCAAGAACTTGAGCCATCATCTGCTGCCTCCTAAGGTTTACGCTAGCAGGAATACTGGTAGCTGGAATCAGGAGCACAGGCATTTCTTGCACTAAGTACTCTGATAGGAGATGCAGGTGTCCCAAGTATCTTCTTAACTATTGTCAAATGCCCACATCAAATGTTGGTTATCAGCCAGCGCCGTGGCTCACTAGGCTAATCCTCCGCCTTGCGGCGCCGGCACCCTGGGTTCTAGTCCCGGTCGGGGCGCCAGATTCTGTCCCGGTTGCCCCCCTTCCAGGCTAGCTCTCTGCTATGGCCCGGGAGTGCAGTGGAGGATGGCCCAGGTCCTTGGGCCCTGCACCCACATGGGAGACCAGGAGAAGCACCTGGCTTCGGATCAGCACGATGTGTCTGCCGCAGCGCAGCGGCCATTGGAGGGTGAACCAACGGCAAAGGAAGACCTGTCTCACTGTCCACTCTGCCTGTCAAAAAAAAAAAAAAAAATGTTGGTTATCATTTTATGAACTAGATGATACAGTAAGGTTTTCTTCCTTTTTAGCTTTATTACTAAAATTTATGTTTCCAAAAATAGGCTAATGAGATCATTTGGCCCGATGTAGATTGGTTTACAGCATGCTATTATTAGGCACAGAAAATGTTGTATACATAATATATTCATATATTTCTATGGCAATCATTTTAAAATCAGTATTCTTGTTTTGCAGTTGAAGCTTTATATCAAACTACATACCCAGAATATCTTCAGTACATTTATTTGGTGGCCCCAATATCTCTTATGATGTTAAACCCTGTAGGGTTTATCTTCTGTGAAATCCAGAAGTCAAAAGACACTCAAAGTACTTCACAAAACAAAGTGAAAATTGTGGGACTTGGATTTCTGCGTGTGTTACAGAACCCAATAGTATTTATGGTCTTCATTGGCATTGCCTTCAATTTTATTCTTGATAAAAAGATTCCTGTATATATGGAAAATTTTCTTGATGGACTTGGAAATTCTTTCTCGGGATCAGCCCTATTTTATCTTGGTCTTACCATGGTAGGAAAAATAAGGAGACTGAAGAAGTCATCATTTGTTGTCTTAATTCTTCTCATCACAGCCAAACTGTAAGTTTTGCTTACTTGATGTAGGAATTATGCTTTATAAAAGCCTTATTTATCCAATTCATTGGGGTGTGTCTGCAACTGTTTTTTCTTTGAATGTTGTTAATTTTTCCCAATAGAGTAGTTGTAATTTCAGAGAAAATGTGATATTTGTGTATGGTAGAAAATCATTTCCTTATTCCATGTAGATTACCCTTTAATTTTATTCTCAAAGGATAAAGATGATTGGTTTCCCTTCAGCCTTTTTATAAAATTTCCTAACTATCACCCGATGTCCTAGTTAGATCATATTTACAAGAATTTTGCAGGATCTAAATCCATTACAATCTTAAAAATATCTTAGAATGATAACAATAATTTTCAACACAAACTATTTTTCCATGACTTTTGGAAAAATAATCTGTAATTCTGAGATTGACTGAACTTTTTACATATTGGAAAATCAACAGAAATATTATTAGCTATCTGGTCCTAGCCTATCAAATAAGAAGTTCTTATCAGCTCCTTAGTATTTCTTCACCTTACTTGGTTCATTAGCCACAAAATTATACTTCATGGTGCAGGTGACATAATTTTACTTGCAAGATTATCCCAAAGTACTTGAGGTATATTTAGTAATGTGATGTAGTATTTATATTTTCATTTTAGTTGACAAAGAGAAATCTGTTGGTTTATTTCCCAAATGCCGACAGCCCACAGCAGCCAGGGCTGGCTCAGGCCAAAGTCAAAGAGTCTATAACTCAATTCAGGTCTCCCATGTGGGTGGCAGGGACCCAAGTATTTGAGCCACCACCTGCTGCCTCCTGGAGTGTGCATTAGCAGGAAGCTGGAACCAAAAGAAAAGCTGGGACTTGAACCCAGACACTCTCACAGGTTGCAGATATCACAAGCAGCAGCTTAACCATTGCGCCATTGCCCACTCCTACATTTTCAAAATAAATGAAAACAGACAGACGTTCTGAAAACTGTTTATGGTATAATGCTCCTCAAGAAAAAACATTGATTATATTGTTATAGTATAAAAAACAGTTCTAACAATAATAGTATAGTATTAGCAACTTCAGCTTAGAAGTAAAATTTAAGTATTTTACTTTAAAATATTTTTCCTGGGTCTTTGATTCTTATTAAATATTTATTATTTTTTTAATTAAAAAAGGGGTCCTTCAAAATGTCTGTGGAAAAATGGAATGCATACAGAGTCTTCAAAGAGTTCATGGAAAATGTGTATCATGAAAAAAATTTTACATGGATTTGTATATTTTTTGGCACCAAAATGAGCTTATCTTTCAATTCCATGTGTACAAGTAGTTTTCTCCATCTCAGTACCTCTCCAGAGGCTGCTGTGACAATGTTCAAAGCCGTGGCCGCGCATTTCTGAAGGAGAGCTTAGCTCCTGTCAATGTGCTCTTTCTGTAGAATCCTGAAGGATTTGTTTAATAATTGACTCATCACCAGATCTGGATTTCACTAATTATCTGCTCTACATCACCTGTGTCTGTTCCCATTGCTAGCCTTTTTTAATATATGCAGAGATGAAGAGCTAATCATAGCGTTCTGATTTTTCTACTGGTTTTTAGATTCTTTTGGAACAGCATTGTTACCATTTATTGAACCACTTAAAGTTCAGCTTTTTAAAAAAAAATTATTTATTTTATTTGAAAGGCAGAGTTACACAGAGAGAGAAAGAGAGGCCCAAATGGCCACAATGGCTGGAGCTGTGCTGATCCAAAGCCAGGAGCCAGGAGCTTCTTCAGGATCTCCTATGCAGGTGCAGAGGCCCAAGAACCTAAGCCATCTTCTGCTGCTTTCCCCAGCCATAGCAGAGAGCTGGATCAGAAGTGCAGTAGCCAGGTCTCGAACTGGCATCCTATATGGGATGCCAGCACTTCAGGCTACAGCATTAACCCCCTACACCACAGCTCAGGCCCCCCCAGCTTTTGTTTTTAAGTTTAGTTTTTTTGAAAGAGATTCTTACTCAAATTGCCATTTTTTTTTCTTTTAAAACTGCAGTGCACCAATAAGGAAGCAAGAGAGCAGCTATAACCATTGCAACTTTTAACCATTTTTTTTTTGCAAGAAATTTATTTGTAGAACAAAAAATATCTGTTTTTTCTCCTCCAAATTCCTAATGGCTGAAGTATTTTCAGAAAATTGTCACACTCTAAATGGCTCCAAGATACATTCTGGATTCTTTCAACAAAATGCTCAACACGCATGCACAAAGAATGTGTATAGGTAGACCTTCTGGGCAGAAGAGAACCGAATGCCACGTTGGCCAGAGCAGTCTACTACTTGAGGACAAGTATGCTTGCCTGGCAAAGTAAACTATGCATTTCTTCTTTCTGCAGCCTGGTCCTGCCCCTCCTGTGCAGAGAAATGGTGGAACTCTTGGACAAGGGCGACAGTGTAGTGAACCATACAAGCTTATCGAATTATGCATTTTTGTATGGTGTCTTTCCCGTAGCACCGGGAGTGGCTATCTTTGCAACGCAATTCAACATGGAAGTTGAGATTGTATGTATAAACTGTTTCCTAAGTTTGTTTCTGTGGATGATAGAACAGTGAATTTTTGAATCACAGAAAGCAACATTGCTCTTTATGAGTATCTGATATCTGTAAGCCATCTCACTGTAAATAAGGAGGCATCATGGCATCACGTAAAAATAGTTATTTCATCTGGAATTTTTTATTCAGTCATGCCTTTTGTCAAGTATTGAATTATGTACTTATACTTAATTATGATTAATTCTAAGTTATTTATATTAACTTTTGAAATTTTGAGGGAAAAATATTTTATTCATTGATAACTACTTGATGCAAAATACCACATCATCAACTTCAACATATAGCTAAAATCAGTTAGCACCAAATTATTAACAGTGTTTAAGTATATTATACATGCTATCTACAGCTTTAAAGGATTTTGAAATATAAAATGAAGGACCTTAATTAATGAAGGTCAGTTCCATTTTGTGTGTGTGTTTTAAGATTTATTTATTTGAAAAACAGTTACAGAGGCAGAAAGAGAGGTCTTCTATCCGCTGGTTCACTCCCCAAATGGCTGCAACGGCCAGAGCTGAGCCAATCTGAAGCCAGGAGCCAGGAGCTTCTAATGAGGTCTTCTACATGGGTGCAAGGGCTCAAGGACTTGGGCCATCCTCTACTGCTTTTGCAGGCCACAGCAGAGAGCTGAATGGGAAGTGGAGCAGCTGGGACTCAAACTATTGCTCATAAGGGAAGCTGGCACTGCCGATGGCAGCTTTACCCACTATGCTACAGCACCAGCCCCAGTTCCATTGTTAAATCTGTAAAAGTTTGCATGGTAATTTTTTAAATTGCTTATTTTTGGCCTATGTGAAATAGTATGTAAAGAAACTCTTTGTCAGTTTATTTAGATAATTGATATGATATCCTTTCTAGAACCTAGAGGATAACCATCACCAATGGGATTTCTAATATTTATGACGTGTGATTATCAATTGAGCCTAGATTGGAAGAGGAACCAAGGGAACCTAACTGTTAAGGACATTTAAGGACTCTCAAAAAGGGAAAGTATGGTATTGGACAACCTGTTGGAGAGTGTAACATCTGTACCGACTCATTCTTATTTTAGAATGCTTTAATCTGTTACAGGTATTTTGAAGGGTAGGGTCATTATTTGATTGAGATTGTGACTCCTCAATCTGATTTCATTTTTGCAGGTAACCTCAGGGATGGTAATAAGCACGTTTGTGTCTGCTCCGATCATGTATGTTTCTGCCTGGTTACTGACCTTTCCCACTATGGACCCTAAGCCACTGGCGTATGCCATTCAGAATGTTAGTTTCGATATAAGTATTATCAGCCTGGTCTCCTTGGTAAGTATATTTCAGTGTGAGACTGAATCAAAACCACAAAATGAGTGCTTCAGTGGAAATAGACAAGGACTTAAAAATCGAGGTTTTTTTTTTTTTTATGAAATTGAGAAAGCTAAAGCCTCCTTATCAAGTAAATTGCCAAGCTTCTGATCGAGTTTTGTCTTTCCACTGGGAGTTAGAGTTGTATGGCAGATAAGGCAAGAGATTTGGTCACACCTGGATTTGACTGCCTGGCCTGTCACAGAATAACTGTATGACTCTACCAAAGCTGCACTTCTATCAGCTGTAAAATAAAATAAAGATAATGATTTCACCTATTTCCCTGGGTTGTTTTAGGGGTTAAATGAGATGATAATATATGTGAGAAGCAATTTGCTAATGATGAATCACTGTATCAGTACTAGCTGTTGCAGAATCATATGGTTAGAAGGGATCTGTGGGCTCAAAGTTAACCACTCATTTAATATTAATGAAAGGTTAGCTTCATTCTCCAATTGAATATACTTAAATAATTAAGCATTTGACAATCAGAGAATCTTATAGATAGTTACCTATTGAATTCAAACAGTAGCATAGCTGAATAAAAAAAGACCATGTTTGCTGGTAAATATGTCTTTTGGCAACAAATAAATGTGTGATTAAGGTGATTTATTGGAATTCCCACTTCTCACACGTTCCCAAAATCTTGCCATTGCTAAGAGGGCAGTTTGAGAAGACCTACCATGTAAGTTCCTGTTAGCAGTGAAAGGACAAAGCAGGAAATCAACCAGTACCAGCATACTTCGCTGGCCGCTGTGTAGGTGGAATACAAAGTCAAATATGGGGAATGCAAGACAGTTCATCTTTGGGTGGGTGGCATGTGTTGTTTGAGCTAAGACAGCCTGGAATTTACCTAACATGTGAGCCAATGTGGTGTAAGACAAAGAGGAACATCTTAGAATGGAGCGTTGCAACTGCATCTCCCACTGAAACTTTTTTCCTGAATAGTTGGCTGAGATCCTGTGTCCTACTCCAGGCCCTGGAGTTGGGCATAGTTGGAACATGGTCCTGGTCAAGATAGTTCTTATTGAAGACCTTGTAACTTCTGAACCGTTCATTTGCTGCGGGATTTCTTCATGTTTTATATTTTACTTTGGGTGCGGTAAATTACCCTGCTACCTTCTTGGGAATTCGACAACTTAAAGTAAATAAAATATTGGAATTTCTTTCTGAACCAGGATAGAAAGATTCTTTGAAGTAACTAATCAGTATGTTATTTAATAAGTAATTATAAAGATTAAGAAACATGAATAATTTTGAAACTTTTGTCTTCAGATCTGGTCTCTGGGTATTCTTCTTTTGAGTAAGAAATATAAGCAGCTTCCTCATATGCTTACAACAAATTTACTCATTGCTCAGGTTAGTATCTCTACAGACATTCAGAACTGTGCTTTTCTCAAGGATTATTCTACTAGTGAGGAGAAAACCACTTTGCAAGATTTTCCCAGTTATAAAGTCAGAAGTATTACCAAAGGCAAATCAATTATAATTGTATTACCATTAGTTTGGTTTATGCCTAACATATTACGTATTTCAACAGGTCTTGGGTTATCTAAGGTTGAGGCTAATGGTAGCATTTGATGATAATGTTGCATTTTTTAATAAGAAATAATCAAATCACTAAAAATTGAACTCTTGAAATTTTCTTAAAGCCTTGCCCCTTGCATGTCTAAAACTATAATGGAAAGAAAGCTAACGTTTTCTGTGTATAATGTTACTAAATATAAGGTTGATATTTAGAATATAGTCTCTATGTTTTAGTTGAATGTATACATTGTTAAAGTCTCTATATAAAAGGTTTTTTAATCATAAATCTGAGGTTTTACTAATAACTAGCATGTAGTTGTTTATTACTAATTATTGATAATTTCCCAGTAATTTAAATTGAACAATTATTTTGCTGCAAATAAAATATATGAGTAGACTGACTTAATAGTTATTTTCTATGATAGTATTGACCCATGGTTTTCTTAGCTATTTACAGCCTTTTAATAATTTTTTCTTTAGTCTATTGTCTGTGCTGGAATGATGCTATGGAATTTTGTTAAAGAAAAAAATTTTGTTGGACAAATTTTGGTGTTTGTTCTGTTGTACAGCTCCCTGTATAGCACCTACCTGTGGACAGGTAAGTTGGACCATGAATAGAAATTGAGGTCTGTTCCCCTTTTCCCCAGCCCTAGAAGCCCTGAGCTTTTCAGTGATTTATTTGAAGCTGGATAGTATAGGATCAAAGTGTTCAATCACGCAAGTGCTCCCACCAACGCAGTCAGTCTGCAAATCTGAGTTCTGTCCTAGTGGTAGAGTCTTTGGCTCTAGGCCACTGACATCCCAAACTCCCTTTTGGAGACAGCAAGGGGGCAGGTACAGGAGGCAGGTGGAGAAATGGGAGAATGGACACACTGTGTACCCTAGAGCTCACTATTAGACCGTGACTAAAAAATTTTCGCTCTGCCTTAAGCAAATGACTTAACATTTGTAGTCAGTTTCCTTATCCAAAAAACAGGGTAATAGCACCTTACAAAGTTATTTTGAGGATGAAATGAAATATGGGTATTTATGTTCAGTACATGGTAGGCTCTCAACAAATAGAGGGGGAGAAGGTAAAATGAGGCTAAGAAAAAGTCAGGGGATAAAAGAGAATGGAAATAGACGAGCACCTAGTAAGAAAGACTTTCTCATTTCAGTGGGTTTCAAAAAGAGTATTCAGAATGTTTTAGCACACTGCCATTTTGAAATATAACATTTATTTGGATGCATACAGTCTGGTATAATTGTGAAAAATTCTGTCTGGCTCTTTTGTATTCATACTGCAAATCAGAACCTGTAGCGTGGCACATAAAAGGAAGTTGTAGGAGGGTGAGAGGCAAATGTCAGGAAGTGGCTGCAAAGGAAGACCTTTGATTTCATGCCTCCTGGATCAAAAGCAGGTTCCATCTAAGTCAACAGCCTTTTGAAGTGAAACAACAGTGTGGCGGTGAGGAATTGAGGAATTACGGAATGAAAACTTCCATGCAAACGGAAGACAGTGTGTGCTTCTTAAAGCAAAGCACACCTTGCTTAGCATGAGAGACACCAAGTTCAAAGAGCTTAAAGATGTATTTCTAAATACAGATGGGCCAACTTCATCTCGAATACTTAGGTTTATTTAAGTTAACTTCAAGAGAATAAGAGAAGAGCAGCAGATAAGTGCATGAAAAAGCTCCAGGCCTTTTAAACATACATACCAAAATCTATCCAAAGAAGTTGTTCTGAATTCCCTGGGCCCGATGAAGGTACCCTGTAACCTTCAGTTTATTGTGCTGCAACAGAATATTAGACCTGGAAGTGTTGCTTCTAAATCACCTTGTTCAGTGATTTTCAGTTTCACTTATTGCATGCTATCCTTTCCATTTTTGCTCCATTTATATACCTTTTTTTTTTCTTAAAATTGATTCACTTTTTAAACTTTAGTCAGTTGTAGCTTATATAAATACAATCCTGTGGCATGTGATAATTAAAATCTTTCAAATGCATGTTGAAATAAATCCATGTATTTCATCAAAAACATTTTTGCTTTTGTGTCACCCATAGTCTCTTAGACTTTAAGAAACACTGCTCTAGTTTATGTGTTTTTTAAAATTTTGATTCACTTGAGAGGCAAAGAGACACAGAAAGATAGCTTCCATCTGTTGGTTCACATCTTCAACAGGAGGAACTGAGCCAGGTGGAAGACAGGAATGCAGAACTCAAATCAGGTCCATGTGGGTGGAATCAAACCCAGACTCTCTTGATATGGAATACGGGGAAGTTTTGACCAAGAGCACAAAACACCAGCCCCTGCTGTGCCAGTTTAAATCTTTCATTTTGCGAATTAAGAAAATAGGCATGAACGGTTAAACTGATTCAGGGAGGAACTCTCACAGCTTCATCAGTGAGAAGTCCTGGACTTGATTCTTCCTAATAGGAACTGCAAAAATGTTTGTGGAAAGTGGAATTAAAAGGTTCATTTCGAAATCCATGCATTTTCATAGTACACCTTTTCCAGATCTTTTTGAAGATCCCCAAAAGGCAGAAATGATAAAGGTTAAAAGTTGGAAGAGTGAGGTGGCCACTGAATCCATACATTCTTTTTTTTTAATTATTATTATTTACTTATTTATTTGAACAGCAGAGTTATAGAGAAGCAGAGGCAGAGAGAGAGAAAGAGAGAGAGAGAGAAATATCTTCTGTCACTCCCCAGATGGCTGCGCCAATCCAAAGCCAGGAGCCAGGAGCTCCTTCTGATCTCCCACGTGGGTGCAGGAGCCCAAGGTCTTGGGCCATCCTCTACTGCCCTCTCAGGCCATAGCAGAGAGCTGGATCTGAAGTAGAAGTGGAGCAGCCAGTGCCCATATGGAATGCTGGCACTGCAGGCAGTGGCTTTATTGGCTACACCACAGTGCCAGCCCTAGAATCTATACATTTTTAAGAATAGCTATAAATTCTTTAAACACAGCTAAAATACAACTCTAAAACCAAGCAGATTCAAACAAAACTATAAACCCAGTAATTCTAATGTACAACGTTAATTAACATGACAAAGGATCTGTTTTGTTAATCACAGCTTGGAATCTCAAATGGAATTCACTTCTCTGGTGTGGCTTTTTTGAGTTGGGCTTGCCTTACTTCCATATGCAGTTTTAGGACCCAGTTATCTTTTCTTTCTTCAAATCACCAAAGAGCCTGCATTTGGGTTTGCATTGCATGCTGGGGTATCATTTGGCCTTCACTTGGTTCAGCCTAATACAAAACCAAACACAGTGCCTGAAATCATGAGACTGTTGGTTGCAAGATGATTTTCCCTGAAGATAAACCAGAAAGACTTAAAATTTCCCAGATCCTGAAGAATATGTCTTAGGAACCCCAAGGGTCCACAATTCTAAAGATTGGGGGTTCCAGAACCTTATGACTGGGTTTCTTTCTGGTCCAGCTCTGCCCTCTGCTGGTTGTGTGCTTGGGCAAACCCTTGTTTCCATGTCAATAAAATGAAGGTGTTTAAAACAGAGTTCCCTTCCAACACTGAAGTTCTAAGATTATATAGCTATGTAGAACTTACTAAGTAAGATGTTTCTTGTGTAAGTCATTGGGTATAAGGTAAGGGAAGTCCAAGACCTTGGAAGCATTTGTGTTTGTGTTAGGTTCACATCATGACTAAGCTTCATCATGACACTTGGGACATTTTCTAAAAACATAACCTGTGTAAGAATTGCTTACACTTCTTTCACCAGCACAGTGGGAGTGTTTTTATTTTTAGAATCTTTCGGTCGACAGTTAATTTTTTTTCCAATTACACTTAGATTTTAAACACATAAGACAAAAGAATAAAAATGTGGCTTTTGAAAAGAATTCTCACATATAAAGCAAAATTTGAGGAAAGAAACAATATAGGAGGGATGACATGAATGATTTTGAATTAAGAAAATATACCTCAAACTATTGGGAATAGTATTTATTTGGAAGGCATAAATTCTTAAACAAAAAACTAGACTACTATAGTATAGTATTAAAGTAAATTTGATTTAAGATAAGGGAATAAAATTCTATGAAATCTGCTCAATGTCCATCTTTATTTCTTATTCTTAGGCCTTCTAGCAGTTTCTTTGTTTCTTTTGAAAAAGCGAGAGAGTGTACAAATTCCTGTTGGAATCATCATAATATCTGGCTGGGGGTAAGTTGGTGGTTTTGTGTTTGCTTTCATGTTTCCATATATACAGTTACTATTCATTCTCTCTTTTTCTCTCAATAACCCTTGTTGTTATAGAATTCCTGCTCTCCTTGTTGGTGTTCTTTTGATAACTGGAAAGCACAATGGAGATAGCATTGACTCAGCCTTCTTTTATGGAAAAGAGCAGGTGGGAAGAGTTTATTGGCAGTTCTGTTCTTGAGCACATCTCTTTTGAGCTTGATTATGTACCTTGCTATACTTACCTTAAGTTAACCTTGCAAATCTCTTCCAACTTATTACATGTCTATTGGTGTTCCTGTATCATTTTGTCATACATCAAAATATGTTGAGCATTTTGCATGTCTAATCCATTTTTAGCTAAAAATTTCTAAATGCTTGCTACTTATTGAGTCTTCTTTTAAACATGCTTGTGAATTATGTTTCCTCTCCTGGAGAAAAAAGTGATCAACTGAAACCCATTTAATAAGATAGCAGTAATAACAAAAAACTTGTTTGTTTTGAGAGACAGAGAGAGACCGACAGACAAACAGCGCCCATCCACTGGTTCATTCCCCCAAATGCTTGCAATGGCCTTGGGCTGGGCCAGGCAGGGACTGAAGCTGGGAGCTGGGAACTCAATCCAGGTCTCCCACAAGGGTGGCAGGAACCTAATCACTTGAGCCATCATTGCTGGCTTCCACAGTCTGCATTAGCAGGAAGCTGGAGTCAGGAGCTGGAGCTGCCAGGCATTCTGATAGAGAATGCGAACATCTTAACTGCTAAGCCAAATACCCACCAAATTCTTGACTGTTAATAATATCATAAAAATAAATTCTAGAATAAAAAAATGTATCTGGGGAAAAGTATGCTTAAAAAGCTAGAGTGGGAGGCTTGTGAGTTCTGCTGAATTCTTTGGGGATAAGGCCTAGGGATATGTGGGGTTCTTTGAAATTTCTTGAATTACTTTTAATCTCTTAACCAGTTTTTGTTTGCTTTGCAGTTTTGAGTTTTATGAGAATAAATAAGATTTTATATATATAAGGGACATAGACTAATGCTAGCATTCAATGTGTTCAATAAATATTAGCTACAATTACTTATTTTTGGTATCATTACCATAAAAATGTCTCTAGTTGACTGAAGTATGCTTGAACTACCTACAGAAGTGGCAGAAACTTAAGTGCAGAAAAGGTTTGTAAGAAATCATGTAGATCACTTGAGGAAACCAATGGCTATCTTGGTAACCAGTTGCTAGAGAATGAAAGAAGTATCCAGAAACTTATATAAATAAACCCTTATTTCTCTGCATATAACATGCATTCATTACATACTCTTGCCCGTTTTTAAGAACTACTGTTCTAGAGTCTTATTGCTGTGGGGATGTTAATTCCTACCCAAAAAGTGCCTTTAACCTTCTGTACTAAGAATCTCAAGATGGGGTTGTGAAGGTGACCTAACACCTTTTGCTGATGTTGGCAGATGATCATCACGGCAGTTACCCTGTTCTGCAGCATCGCGATCGCTGGCACATCACTCATGTGCATGAACCGCACCAGCCAAGCAGGGCGCTATGAAGGTTTTGACCAGTCTCAGAGCCACAAAGTCATGGAGCCTGGCAATGCTGCTTTTGAAGAGAGTCCAGAACCGACAAGTGAACCAGAATTGTTTACAAGTTCCATCCCAGAAACAAGTATGATCCTTAAATATATAGAAACTGCTACATGCATTTTTTTTAAAAAATATTTTACAATTTTTATTTATTTATCCATTTATTTTATTTCATTTTATTTGAAAGGCAGAGATACAGAGACAGAGAGAGAAACAGAGAGAGATCTCCAATCTGCTGGCTCACTCTTCAAATGCCTGCATCAAAGCCAGGAGCTGGGAATTCAATCCGGGTCTCCCACATGGGCGGCAGGGACCCAACTACTTGAGCCATCACCTGCTGCCTCTCAGGGTGCGCATTAGCAGGAAGCTGGAATTGGGAGCGGAGCCAAGACTTGAATCCAGGCACTCCGATATGGGATGTGGGCATCCCAAAGTGGCATCTTAATTAGCTATTAGGCCAAATGCCTGCCCTGTTACATGCCTTTGTAGTGTATTCTGTTTTGTTTAAGGAAACGTCTTTGAACTAACCTGAATATCATAGGTTTTGTCAAATTAAGAACTTATATCATAGTCAATAGCAGAAAGAGCTTATAAATTCATTTGATTTTTGTTTATAAGCATTTTTGTGAGGATATCTTTCACAAAATTCCAAGACTTCCTTGGACCTGAGGGGTTTTCTTTTTTAAAACAAGTAGAACATTATCAGTGAAATCAAAATCTTTTGAGCCTACTCCATTCTTGTTCATCTTGGAAGTAATCACTGTTATGAATTTGCTCTGTATTCTTCCAGAGCAGCTTATTATACTTTTAGAATATGTATAATTTTCCAACAAAAATACATAGTATTGTTTTACATGTTTTTAGATTTTTTATATAAGTTTTATATTACAATTAGTGTATAGTTATCAGTATTTTTAGAAATCTATTCATGTTGTAGATATGCTCAGTTATATGAATGTACCAAATTTTATTTATCCATTTCCATACTCATGGACATCTAGGTTGCTTTAAAATATCTTGCTGTTAGAAACAGCATTGCAGTGAACATCTTCGTTCACGTCTCCCCAAGTGTACGTCAAGATTTTTCCTAGGATGATAATTCTTGGGTCACAGAGACAGATATGTTTTCTTGGCTTCAGTGTCAACCCTTTATATATGATTCCTGAAGTTGGATCTCTACTATGACCCCTTTATATAGGTCCAATCCTGGATTTCCTGCTGCCTACACATGCATTGCTTACATCTCTGAGTATGTAGCTGGCACTGAGTCCTTTTTCAAATGTAATCCATCTTTAACAGTTCTGTTTTTTTCAGTTGCTCCACTGTCCTTCAAGGTTTCCAGGCTCAAGATCTATCTCCCTCTCAAACTAGCCAGTGTGTCTTCAAGGCATGTCGCTCTCCCTCCACAAGGTCCTTCATCTCCCCTTGGCCCCACCACCCCCACTTTGACCTCCAGCTTCTGCGGATTCTTGTAATTCCCCCCTAACCACGATGCCTCTCAGGACTCCTGACCCAGTCTATTTTATGCAAAAAGGCCGAATCAGTCTCCACAAAGTTCTGGTCACATCAGGCTGTGCTGCCAAGTCTGTGAGGGTCTTGCAGTGCCTCTGAGGTCATAACATTCACCTAGTGTTTGAGCTCTTTCATGGCCTGGCCATACCCTGTTCAGATCTCCTCTGCCATTGCTCCCCTTCAGGCTGCCCTGGCTCCACCCACCTGAACCCACCTCCATTCTTGGCCTGTACCAGCACTTGAGTTGTCACTGCTCACTTCATGCCTTCACTTCACAGCCTTTCAGCTTGGAGCTCACTGATTTCTCTGTTAGCTCATTTGTGACTATGTCATCATTTTTTGGAGCTAGTCCATTTTCCTTTATAAAACTGAATTTGAAGGATTATATTTATGCTTTCATTAAAATTTAAAAGCTGCTTTCACTGAGCCTGGAGTACTTTTCTCATCATGCCCAACATGATTTCCCCCCTCACTTTCTTTGCACACTTTTTTTTTGGACAGGCAGAGTGGATAGTGAGAGAGACAGAGAGAAAGGTCTTCCTTTGCCGTTGGTTCACCCTCCAATGGCTGCCGCGGCCGGTGCGCTGCGGCCAGTGCACTGCGCTGATCCGATGGCAGGAGCCAGGTACTTATCCTGGTCTCCGATGGGGTGCAGGGCCCAAGTACTTGGGCCATCCTCCACTGCACTCCCTGGCCACAGCAGAGAGCTGGCCTGGAAGAGGGGCAACCAGGACAGAATCCGGTGCCCCAACCGGGACTAGAACCCGGTGTGCTGGCGCCGCAAGGCGGAGGATTAGCCTAGTGAGCTGCGGCGCCGGCCCTCTTTGCACACTCTTGCATTTATCCTGTAAACTAATCTGCCTCTTGTTTTCAGACAGGGCTTGATGACCACCTCCTCCAGCTGGCTCTCTGCATCTGCTCCCATGAGTGTTTTAGAACTACCAAAGACCTGAGAACATCCATGGGAACTTAAGTGAAGGGTCTTCAGCCCAGAGACCTTTGCTATTACCTCTTTACCTGTCTTTTTTTTAAAGACTTTCTCTAAATCCCGTCATCCTCATCTCTAGTAGGAAAGCTAACTTGCAACTGCAGCATGGCAAGTCAGAAAATAGTCACTCCTTATCTCTGTAAGAAACCTTCTGCAATGTTTGTACTTCTGTCTCCCTCTTATCTCACTATTTTATTATTGCTTTCTAAAATTTGTATTTATTTGAGTGAGAGAGAACACACACAAGAGTGCTCAGATCCACTGGTTCACTTCCCAAATGTTGGTGGAGCCAGCCAGTGGGGTGGGGGGACATGAAGCTGGGAGCCAGGAACTTAATCCAGATTTCACACGTGGGTGGTAGGAACCCAACTCCTTGAGCCATCACCACTGCCTCCCTGGTTCCACAATAATTGGAAGCTGGAATTGGGAGCTGGAGCCGGGTATCCATCCCAAGCACTCTGATGTGGGATGGGGATGTCTTAACCATCAGCTTCACCGCCAGGCCAAACACCCACCCCTTATAATTTCTTTTTAAATTATCTGTGTAACCCAGTAGTCTGTCTGCAAGTGCTATGTCTGACTTCCCTGTCACTGTAGTCCAGCACCTAGCATGCTGTCAGGCTTATTGTACATGCTAGTGATATTTGTTAGATGGATGCCTGGGTGAGGTGTATCAGGATTTTCTGAAGCTACCCTGACAAGCAGACAGCAAAACACATCTTTATTTGCCTGGTCACTGGTATTCCTGAGGGAAAAAAATTTCCAACCTATTTGGTTATTCTCTTTCCTTAGATCCTGCTCACTTTTATTCTGCTAGTAGTATTCACCCATAACACCCTGCATGTTGGCCTTGGACTTCCCCAGTCTGGGTAATCCAAAATAGTTCACTTACCTCTGCCGTTTGCTACACATCTGTCAGAGACCCATGACTTGCATATATTATAAATATAGAATTATGATTAATAAGAAAAGTAACCTATTTAGAGAAAAAAGGTTCAGTAAATTAAGGTGGCTGATGGGCTACTTATGTACTCTTCTTATGTTTGAAGGCAGAAACTGCCACAGCTCTTTTTATGGTGGCCATAATCATTTATGTGTGTGTATATGTGTGTTCATTCCCTATATGTATGTCATTGGAGTGGGCTGGTCTTTTTTTTTTAAGATTTATTTTATTTATTTGAAAGACAGAGTTACAGAGAGAGGTAGAGACAGAGAGAGAAGAGAGGTCTTCCATCCGATGGTTCACTCCCCAGATGGCCACAATGGCCGGAGCTGAGCTGATCTGAAGCCAGAAGCCAGGAGGTTCTTCCGGGCCTCCCATGTGGGTGCAGGGGCCCAAGGACTTGGGCCATCTTCCACTGCTTTCCCAGGCCATTGCAGAGAGCTAGATCAGAAGAGGAGCAGCCAGGATTAGAAACAGCGCCCATATGGTGCTTCAGACCAGGGCTTTAACCCACTGTGCCACAGTGCCAGCCCCAGTTAGCTGGTCTTACACACAGGATACTTTAAGAAGTTAGTAGAGAAACGGAATTAAAAGTATGACTTGACTTTGGTACAAAAATTTTGGGGTGAGGAGGTTGGTGTTGTGGTGCATAGGTTAAGCTACCTACAGGCTTCAATGCCCACATCCCATAATGAACTGCCAGTTCAAGTCCTGCCTCCTCCGCTTCTAATCCAGCTTCTTGCTGATGCAGCCTGGGAGGCAGCAGTGATGGCTCAAGTGCTTGGGCCTCTGCCACCCATGTAGGAGACTTGGATGGGGTTCCTGACTCCTGGCTTCAATCTGGCCCAGTCCTAGCTCTTGTAGGTACTTGGGGATTGAACCAGTAGATGGACAATCTCTCTCTGTCACTCTGTCTTTTAAGTAGATTAAAACAATACACATAAGTTTAAATGTTTTTCATAATTGTGTAAAATGTATATTATGAAAAATTTGAAGAAATTTTTGCATTCAGATAAACTTAAATACTTTTAATTTTATTTTCCACAAACTTTTAAAGTATCTTTGTATATTTTCTTAATAATTTTTATCTTGGTGAGTTAAGCCCAAATTGCTGAAGAGGGCTGGCCCAGATCATGTCTTTATTTTCTTTTCTATTATTCTCTGGTTCTATTTTAACCTTGAGATGGCATCATTATCTTAAATTTAGAAAGACATTCATAATAGCTTATTATAGATTGTCATTTTAATACCTTGAAATCTCTTGTTATTTTTATGAACATCAGTGAAGAATTTAAGTACTTTCTCAATGAAAGGTTCAACCTAAGAATTACTCATTTTTCTAGCACATGAAATTTTAATAAGTTTATCACTGAAGTGATTCTATTATAATGCATGTCAAGGAGCACCATGTCTGCACTCGCATGTGTGTAAGATCTGGAAAGGGTACCACGTGCAGTTCTCAGGGTGGAGCGAAAATTCCAGCTCCATGGCAGATGTCTCAGTGTGACTTCTGTAAACTCTTCACCCACCAACTAGCAGGAGATTTTCAGCGGTATATATTTGAAAGAAAAAAAAAGTATGTAATTATTTTACAGCATCTTCTGGACTAATAGGAGACAGTTTCGGAATGGAAGTGATTGTTGAGCTGAACTTAAAGGCAGTAAGAGGATTTGGATGAATTAACAAGCGTGGGAATTCCATGCTTGTCAGCCTATGCCTTGAGACCCAAAAAAGCATGAGATTTGTGGGGGACCCTAAAGAATCCTCAAAGATGGGAAGGCTTTTGTTGAATAATCTAGGGATAGTTGGAGAGAGAGAGAGAGAGAGAGAGGCCAAGTGTGTGTGTAGTAATGAAATAAAAGCTGTATTTTTAGGAAGGTGTTTGGATTCTTACTTCTTCAAGCACAGCAGCTAATAAAACAGCATGGATAAGACATTTCCCTGTCTTACACGATGAGGAGATGACATGTAAAGGATCTACCCTTTTGTCTGGAACTTTTAAATTTTTATTTATTTATTTATTTATTTGAAAGGCAGAGTATTACAGAGAGGCAGAGGCAGAGAGAGAGAGAGAGAGAGAGAGAATCTTTCTTTCTTCCACTGGTTCACTCTCCAAATGGCTGCAATGGCCACAGCTGGGCCTATCGAAGCCAGGAGCCAGGAGCTTCTTCTGGGTCTTCCACATGGGTGCAGGGGCCCAAGGACTTGGGCCATCTTCTGCTGCTTTCCTCGGCCATAGCAGAGAGTTGAATCAGAATTGGAACAGCCAGGAATCAAACCAGCACCCATATGGGATGCTGGCACTGCAGGCAGCAACTTTACCCACTACCCACAGCGCCAGCCCCTGTCTGGAAGTTTTTAAATGTTTGTTTTTGTATAAGCACATTTGAATGCTTTTTGATAGGTATCATATGAAAACATTTCCACTGCATGCGAAGTGCATGATGAGTAGATTTTTCTGTGTTTTGCAGCTCTGGGACTTGTCCATTTCTGCTGTTATTCACATGTTACTTCATCTCTGCAGGTTGCTGCTCCTGCTCCATTGGGAATGGTGAACTGCACTGCCCATCAACAGAGCCAGTGGCAAACACGAGCACCAGTAGACCTGGGACCCCTTCATTTGAGAAAAGTAAGTGCCTCTGGCTATCAGAATGGCCTGAAGAGACAGATGATTCCTTATCCCTATACTTCAAAAGAACTCTACATAGAACATCTCTAGGAGCTGTAACATGGAACACAGTTTGGGAATAGGGATTTCCAAATGAGATGGGGAAAGTGCTAACAGGATGACAGTCATGCATAGACAGAATACTCATTTGTGGGTAGAGCCACCACCTGCAGTGCCAGCATCCCATTTGATCACCGGTTCTTGTCCCAGCTGCTCCATTTCTGATCCAGCTCCCTGCTAATGGCCTGGGAAAAGCAGCAGAAGATGGCCCAAGTGTTTGAGCCCCTGCCACCCATGTGAAAGACCTGGAAGAAGCTCCTGGCTCCTGGCTTTGGCCTGACCCGGTGCTGGCTGTTGTGGCCATCTGGGGAGTAAACCAGCCGATGGAAGATCTGTGTCTCTCTCTCTTTCTCTTTGTGTTAACTTTAACTTTCAAATGAATAAATCTTTTAAAAAAATTTAAGTTTGGGGAACTTAGCAGGTTAAGTCACGCCTGTGACACTGGCATTCATATCAGTGCCAGTTTGAGTTCTGGCTGCTCCGCTTCTGATCCAGCTCTCTACTAATGTGCCTGGGAAAGCAGCAGAAGATGGCCCAAGTCCTTGGATCCCTGCCACCCATATGGGACACCCTGATGGAGTTCTTGGCTCCTGGCTGTGGCCTTACCCAGCCCTAGCCATTCAGCCATTTGGGGAGTGAATCAGCAGATGGAAGATCTCTGTCTCTCCCCCTTCTTTAAATCTGCCTTTCATATAAATAAATCTTTTTTAGAAAAAGATTCTTATAAGGTTTTTTTTTTAAAGATTGATTTATTTATTTGAGAGGCAGAGAGAGAGAGAGAGAGAGGTCCTTCATCCACTAGTTCACTCCTCAAATGGCCATAACGGCTGTGTTAATCCAAAACCAGAAACCAGGAGCTTCTTCTGGGTCTCCCACACGGGTGCAGGGGCCCAAGGACTTGGGCCATCTTCTGCTTCTTTCCCAGGAATTAGCAGAGAGCTGGACTGGAAGAGGAGGAGCGGGGACTAGAACCTGTGCCCATATGGGATGCTGGCGCCGCAGGCAGAGGATTAACCTACTGCACTACGGCGCCAGCCCCATGTGCTTCTTTTTATACCTAATGTTTCTCTACATCTGCATTTCCAAAGCTTTCTTCCTTATTTTTTTTCTCCTTACATAATATGTCAGTAATAAAGCCCATTAGCAAATTGGACATGCTCTCTACTTAAACAACTTTTTTGATTTTTTGCCAAAATCTCTATAGGCTTTTCTTACCTGACATTTTCCTCATTAATGATGTTAGTGCCTGAAAACTTAAATTATAAGGATTTCTTACATTTTCTGGTCATATTTATAAAAATTCTACAGAATGAGACTCACTGAAAGGCTGGCATTGTGGCACAGTGGGAAGGTGGCAGCCTGTGATGCTTGCTTTCCACGTTGAAGCATGGCTCAACTCCCTGCTACTTGGCTTCCAATACAGCTTCCTGCTGATGAACATGGGAAGGCAGCAGAAGATGCCCAAGTACCTGGGCCCCTGCACCCATGTGGGAGACCCAGTTGGAGCTTCTGGCTCCTGGCTTCAGCCTGGCCTACACCTAGCTCTTGTAACCAGTCGAGTAGTGAAGCAGCAGATGGAAGACTTCACTCTCTCTCCCTCTTTGTCTCTCTCATTCTGCCTTTGAAATCAATAAATTTTTTTTTAAATGAGAGCTATTGTATATGTACTTCAGCTAGTCATATAATTTAGTATCCTTCCCAAACTTGAAATAATTTAAAAGAAAGCCTGAAATAAATCAAAACATGGACAAATAGAATTTTTAGAGTTTATTAATGAAATTTATTCCTCACTCCCTGGCATAGCACAAAAGCAAAATAAATACTACATTTAGGTTGTTAAATGACAATGATATATAAAGTCAGAGTTACACAGAGAGAGAAGGAGAGGCAGAGAAAGAGAGAGAAAGGTCTTCCATCCACTGGTTCACTCCCCAATTGGCTGCAACGGCCAGAGTAGGGCCAGGCCAAATCCAGGAGCCAGGAGCTTCCTCTGGGTCTCCCACACGGGTGCAGAGGCCCAAGCACTTGTGCCATCCTCCACTGCTTTCCCAGGCACAATAGCAGGGAACTGGATGGAAGTGGAGCAGCCAGGATAGTACAGCACTGGCCCCCTAAGGCAAATTTTAATAAAGGGTAAGAAGTAATACTAAATTTATTTATTTATTTAACCAAAATAGGTGAGCCCAAGTATATATTTATCAGAGGTCAAACTTGAATTACCAATTTAGGCTTTAAAAATTATATACATAATTGAATAATTACATATATAATTAAATAATTATATGTATTTTAAAGATTTATTTGAAAGGCAGAGTTACAGGGAGGCAGAGGCAGATAGAGAGAGAGAGAGGTCTTCCATCTGATGGTTCACTCCCCCAGACGGCTGCAATGGCCTGAGCTGCACCTATCCAAAGCCAGGAGCCTGGAGCTTCTTCCAGGTCTCCTACATGGGTGCAGGGGTCCAAGCATTTGGGCCATCTCTGCTGTCTTCTCAGGCCGTAGGAGAGAGCTGGTTTGGAAGAGGAGCAGCAGGACTCGAAACAGCGCCCATATGGGATGCCAGCACTGCAGGTGGCAGCTTTACCCGCTATGCCACAGTGCCTGCCCCTTAAATAATTTGTTAACATAATTGTATAGCATAAGTTATATAGCTATAGGGGCCAGCATTGTGGAGCAGCTGGTAAAGCCACTGTAATGTTGGCATCCCATATGGGTACCTGTTCATGTCCTGGTTGCTCCACTTCCTATCCAGCTCCCTGCTAATGGCCTAGAAAAAGCAGCAGAGGATGGCCCAAGTGTTGGGGCCCCTGCTAACCATGTGGTAGACCTGGATTAAGCTTCTGGCTCCTGGCTTTGGATAGGTGCAGCTCAGGCCGTTGTGGCCATCTTGGGAGAGAACCAGAAGATGGAGGATCTCTCTCTGTTTCTCTGTCTCTTTCTGTAACTCTCACTTTCAAAAACAAAAATAAATAAATCTTCAAAAATACATAAATAAATTATGTAGCTACAAAAAAAATTGTTAGTGGTGTTAAAGGGAACTATTGCCTAGTACTTGTGTTGTTTCAGATAAAAACATTCTTAACTGAAACTCTCCTAAAACATGAAGGAGATTTCTTCCAGTTTCATCTAAAATTATATACTGATTCTTAGCTGAATGTGCTTTTTTGTTGTTTCTCTTAGGAAGTCATTATAAATTTAAAATGCATTCAAATGAAAAGCTCTGATTAAAATTGTTGTGCACACTGTTTTCTAGATGATCGCTGTGAGAGTCGCTGTAACTCCCAGAGCTGTATCCTAGCCCAGGAAGAGGAACAGTATCTCCAGAGCGGAGACCAGCAACTGACGCGACACGTGCTGCTGTGTTTACTTCTCATCATTGGCCTGTTTGCTGTAAATGTTTCTTCTGGTTTTGTTTTGCGTCTATTCCTTTAAATGTCTGACGAAAGTTTTATCCAGGCATCTGGGAGAAACTAAGTTGCTGATTTCCAGGGGCATGGCAGTGAAGTCATCTGAATCCCAATATTTTGCTAAATGTTTTAGAAGGAAGAGAATAATCATTCCCATTATTTGTTGTCTACATGCTCCAGTAGCTCTTCCTGATTAGAATCCATTGATCATTCTATGCTGTGAACCTAGAATTTGGTAAAACTAGATGACTACATTATGTGTACAGGGCCGCTTACTCCTAAGGTACCTGACTGACCTACACTATCTCTCTGAAGATACTCATCAGATAAATAAACTTTAAAAAAATATATAATTTTAACTTGGCTGGTATTGTGGCATAGTGGGTTAAGTTACTGCTTACAATGTTGGCATCCCGTATTGGAGCCCCTGTTTCAGTTCTACCTGCTTTGCTTCTGATCCACCTTCCTGCCTGGGAAAAATAAAAGATAGCCTAAGTGCTTGGGCCTCTGCCACCAACTTGGGAGATCTGAATAGAGCTCCTGGCTCCCACCTGGCCCAGCCCCAGCTGTTGTAAAGTAATAAGAGATGTATTGTAATTTCCTCACCTACTTCCTTGTCAATTGTTCATAGCTTTCAAAATGCTACAATAAATATCTCCATGTATTATGTTTCCTTAGGATAGATTCCCAAAGTTGAGAACCTTGAATTGAAGAATATAGCCATTTCTGTGACTTTAGATGTATTCTACTAAGTTGTTTTCCAGGGGTTTGTATAACTATATAAAGTGCTCTCACCAGCATTAGATATTGAAATTTTTTTTAATTTGATGATTTTGTTAGTGAAACATAGTACTTTTTAAAAAAATGCATGCATTTACTGAACTACCAGAGGAGTTTTTAAAATTAGTTTTATGGGGACAGAATGGTAGCACAGCAGGTTAAGCTGCCCCCTGGGATGCCTGAATCTCATATTGGATTGCTGGTCCAAGTCTCAGCTACTCTACTTCTAATGCATCCTAGGGGGCAGAAGCAGATGGCTCAAATGCTTGGGCTCCTGCTATATGGGAGGCCTGGATTGACTTCCTGGTTCCTGGCTTCAGCCTGGCCTAGTCCTGGCTGTAGTGGCCATCTGGGGTGTGAGCCTGCTGAGGGGGAGACTTCTGTCTCTCTTTAGCTCTTTGTTTTTCAAATAGATGAAAATAAATATACATTTTTAAAAATCAGTTCTATGGTCTCACTTGTGAATCATCAGTTATTACATAATTCTCTAAGATGATTCAAGTGTAACTTGCTTAGGAGTAGGAGATGGGCCAGTTAGCCTGTTAAGGAAACCTCACACTGGGATGCCCATTACATAGTGTGATAGCAGCTAGCACCACCGTAACTGCTGTTCAAGAACAAAAATCAAAAAGTAAGAAATGCTGCCAAGAATTGCTGCTTAGTGGTGTAATTGTTTTCATTGTGTAGAGCTAATTTTAAAATCAGTCCTGTCTCAGGCTAGTCGACAGTGCAGATACATTATGTAAGCTTCTGTATTATGGCTCATGTCGTCTTGCTTCAAATCAGATCAGAGTAGATGCTGTTTGAGTGACATCTGTCAGGAGGAGAGGTTGAAACCTCTTGTTTGAAAGACAAAGCCTCTATATTCTCTCAGTGTTTTTCCCTTTAGTCTTTTCTCCCTTAATAATTAAGAAGATAAGTTATTGTACTGTGCTCTGCAGAGAAATGATTAGCTCGCTTTGTATCAGAGTGCGTTTTTCTCTTCCCTTCACAGAATCTTTCCAGTTGTTTATGGTGGCTATTCAACCAAGAGCCTGGAAGACTGTATGTGGAGTTACAGTTTTTCTGTGCTGTGTTTAACTTTGGCCAGGTACTTATTTACTGAGAACTTCGTGGGTTTTTTGTTCTCCTGGATGGGCTGCTGGGGGTGGGGTGTGGATGTTGTTTTCTTTTGAATCAGATGGGTTGTGTGTGTTTGCCAGCTGCTGCTATACGTGACAGCTGACAGCTGCCTGTCTCCTAGGAGAAAGTGTTATATTGGTTCAAGTCATCAGAATATACACCATTTCAACCAGAAATACCAAACAGTTATTCGCTTTGATTTTGAGATAAGGAATAATTTAAGCAGGAACAAAATGCCCTAAGTTCTTTTTAAACTTTATTGTGATCTTAATAACTCACTTTGGGAAAATAACTTACCTCTCCTGAGCCTTTAATTTAGCTACTTAAATTGATGGATGTCATTTCATTTCTATTTTAATATCTCTTGAACAACAGGACTCTAAATCTTAAAAAAAAAATCATGTGGTATATAAGTTTGGGCAGGCATAGTTACCAGGTTCATTATCTCATTTAAATATCACAGCAATACCTACGGAGTTGGTATTATTATTGTCAATTTAAAAACTAGGGCACTAGGAGTGAGCGTTTGGCACAGCAATGAAGACGCTGCTTGGGAAACCTGAATCTCATATCCAAGTGCCTGGGCTTGAGTCCCACCTCTACTGGATTCCAGCTGCCTACTAAAATACACCCTGTGAGGCAGCCATTTGGTGGCTCAAGTACTTGGGTCCCTGCCACCCATGTGGTAGACCCATATTGAGTTTCTGGCACCAGCTGTTGTGGGCATGTAGGCATGACAAACTAGATGGAAGATATCTCTCTCTCTCCCTCTCCCTCTTCCTCCCATCTTCACTTCCTCCTTCCCCTCCTTTTCCTCCTCTGCCTTCCTAATAAAAATCAATGAGTTTAAAAAAAAAAAAACTAGGAAACTAAAGTTATATGAAATAATACAGTAGGTACTATTGCCTATGTTCATGTCACTATTAAAATGGATGCTTAAGGAAATATGACATTTTACATACTGGGAAAATACTTTTTATGTGCAAAATTAAAATTTGATCTTTTCATTAACTGCTTATTTTTTAAAATAGAGAACATTAGCCCACAGATTGAATATCAGGTTGAAAAATACTGTTTGATTGCAGCTTTTGCCTTTTAAATTTGAAATAATTTGCCATATAAGTAGGTTAACATTTGTCAGTAGATACACCTATAAGTTGTTTCCTAACATTAATTTATTAAAATATTTCCAAGTTTTTTGGTCATTATTGTAGGAGACAACAAAGAAACTCTCTGTCTAGACACAGAAGACCTCTATGAGTTTATTATAGTATGAGCATCCCGAGGGTTACTTGAATGCTGATTTAATTGACCTGGGAGGAGATCTGGGCATGAGTATTTTTAAAAATATTCACTGTTTTTCTATGAATCTAACGTTCGTGCCAACAGTAGGTGGTATTGGAGCAGGTTTGAGTTAGAGAATATTAAAATATTTGGGTTATTTAGGGTATGTGATATATAAGGCATTAGAACAATGTAGGTGGCCAGCGCCTTGGCTCATTAGGATAATCCTCCGCCTGCGGTGCCGGCACCCTGGATTCTAGTCCCGGTTGGGGCGCCGGGTACTAGTACTGGTTGCTCCTCTTCTGGTCTGGCTCTCTGCTGTGGCCCGGGAAGGCAGTGGAGGATGGCCCGAGTGCTTGGGCCCTGCACCTGCATGGGAGACCGGGAGGAAGCACCCGGCTCCTGGCTTCGGATCGGTGCAGCGCCGGCCGTAGCAACCATTAGGGGAGTGAACCAACGGAAAAGGAAGACCTTTCTCTCTGTCTCTCTCTCACTGTCTATAACTCTACCTGTTAAAAAAAACAAAAACAATGTAGGAAATGGAAACAGAGTTTATGGCTTTAAAAAAAGTTACTTGATATCCATTTTGACCTTGTGATATTGTTTCAGATCTGACTCCATGTCTAAAATACTAGATTGAAAACTCATACTCTTAGCACTTTGCACTCAAAAAGCCCACTCCAGGCTGAGCTAACCCAGGATTGGTATTAAGAAAGCTTCATTCCAAGGGGGTATCTTATGAACAAAAATTAATGCCTGAAATATTGCATTTAAAATGCTGTCCACACAACATATAGCCCAAGTGATTCAAAGGAGCAAGAGGTGCACAAACTCCACTCTCATCTCATTTTCCTCTTGGAGACGAGTAGTAAGATATTTCCTTCTGGCTGTTTCTCGTTTGGGGTGGAAAAGGTCAGGTCCTTCGTGTAATACTATATTGCGTTCTGCATCCCACCTCCCACCAGTCTGCACTCGGATCCTTCCCTCAGAGTACCCAACAAAAAACAGCTCCCAAACTCCTCTCTCCCCAGGCAGTCCTAAGGTGTTCCCACGTGTGGCTGATAGCTAGTGCCACTTGCCTCATCATGCCCAAATCCTTCAAGCCCTTCCCCTAACCACTAGCCAGTTTCACTTTATATGAATTCTGTCCATTTACTGTGTTATAGTTAGATATTGCAGCAGCATTTATTAATTACATAACTCATCATGAAGTTTTAACTCACAGAAATAAGTAAACACAGTGGGAGACATTTTCTTTTCAAAAAAGAAAAAACAAAGACATTACAGCCCTTGGAATGCTTTGAGTTTTCTTCAGTAAACCGTCATGCAAATATGGTTACTCAGCACTGGTTTGTATCGCTCATTGGAATTAGTAGGAAAGCAGGATTGGGAAGAGGCAGTCAAGTATCCTATCTGCCTCGAGGCACTGAACTTGAGAGAGCCTGCTTTGTGTGTTCCACTTAATACATTGCTCTGTTCAGTGTATGTCTGCTTCCTCAAGCACTACAATTTGGCAACTTCCCTCTTTGCTCTCAAAATTTTATTGTGGAGTTCAGAAAAGGTAACTTTGTTTTCTTCCCTAGGGATTTATTTCCTTTGGAATCTTTGGATTGGACAAACATTTAATCATCCTACCTTTCAAAAGAAGGTAAATTTAGTTTTGAGATAAATCTATTTGAATAAAGGTGATGACAGGGCCATTCTATTACGATACTGATATTTTTAAAACTTTAGTTACTGCTGGAGACTGCTGAACACCACAAAGGTTAGCTGTTGATTCACATATTTGTGCAAAGTAATTGCAGAGAGAAGATAGGAAGAACTGTTACAACTCCAGCATTGTAATTTGCATTTTAACAAGAATTGATGATCCCTGACTTCTATCTGTGCCATTAACTACATAAAGTTAAATGAAACTTGAAAGTCTCTTTAGAAATAGAAGTAGTAGGTGGTGTGCTCCCAAAAGTCTATACTTGATTGTCTTTCTTCCTTGACAACAGGATTCTTCTAGCAAAATGACAACTTAGAGAAACCCAAGTTTCCTTTCTAAACTTTTTTGTTAGCCTAGTGATCTTTATATTAAGATTGGAGATTTCTTTATGCAAAATAACGAATGGGAATACTCCAACTTGGGGATAGGAGGAAGGGGTGGGGTGGGGAGTGCAAACCCTTGTATTTCCTTCTTTGTTTTCAAAGTCAAAACTTAGTAAAAGGGGCTGGTGCCTTGGATCACTTGGTTAATCCTCCGCCTGTGGCGCTGACATCCCATATGGGCACCGGGTTCTAGTCCCGGTTGCTCCTCTTCCAGACCAGCTCTCTGCTGTGGCCCAGGAATGCAGTGGAGGATGGCCCAAGTGCTTGGGCCCTGCACCAGCATGGGAGACTAGGAGGAAGCACCTGGCTCCTGGCTTCGGATCGGCGTAGCTCCAGCCATAGTGGCCATTTGGGGGTGAACCAACGAAGGAAGACCTTTCTCTCTGTCTCTCTCTCACACTGCTAACTCTATCTGTCAAATTAAAAAAAAAAAAACTTAGTAAAAATCCTAGAAATGCTAATGGAGTTTTATCCTTCCAACTTTGTGAAAAATGCTTAGAAAATGGTAACTGTTCATTCTTTTCTTCTTATTCTACATCATCATCAAGATGTAGTTGCTAAGGTCAGAATCACTTCATGAAGGAGGAAAAACATAATATGAAGGTCATTGAACTTGGTTATCAGCTTCATAATGTTTATCAGGTAGAACAGTCAACAGTTCTGTTGTCTTGATCTACAGAAACAAAATTGTTCTGGGCTCCAGATCCTACCATTTGACTCTATGGTACAGAAATTGAAAAATGATTAAGCAAAAATACTTGATCTCTGAGTTATTTTTGTATTTTATAACAGTAGAATGAGGAATAAGGAACATTTATTGGTAGAAGCTTAAATTTTTCAAACATATATAAAGGGTTTATGACATGATCAGGTTCCCTACCCCAGCCCATGAGTATGAAAGTGTATACAGGGCCCATGCGGTGGCGTGGCAGGTGAAGCTGCTGTCTGCAGTACTGGCTGCAGTCCCGGCTGCTCCTTTTCCGATCCAGCTCTCTGCTGTGGCCTGGGAAAGCAGTACAAGATGGCCCAAGTCCTTGGGCCCCTGCACCCACATGGGAGACCCAGAAGAAGCTCCTGGCTCCTGACTTCATCATTGTGACCATTTGGGGAGTGAACCAGCAGATGGAAAACCTCTCTCTCTCTCTCTCTCTGCCTCTGCCTTTCTAACTCTGCCTTTAAAATAAACAAATGAATCTTAAAAAAGAAAAGAAAAAAAGAAAGTATATATAGAGTAAGCGTGTTTCTGCTTCAGAGACTAATGATGTCCGGGCGTTAGAGATGACAGTCCTGCTGCATGACAGCCTGGGAACAGCCTTTTGGATGGGGTGATAAGGCAGGGAGTGTTTTTCTTTCCTTAAAAATAGTCTCCTTAAATTTCAATTTTCAGACTTGAATTCTTATGGAACAATAAAGAAACAGCAGAGAACAGGGATCCTCCTGTTTCTGAGGAAATAAAAATGACCTGTCAACAATTTATGCATTATCACCGTGACCTCTGTATCCGAAACATCGTCAAGGAAAGAAGGTAAGCCAACTGCCAGTACACATTCCAGAGAACTATATTTGAGATGATTGGTTTTTGATTCTAACAAACCAAATAATTGAGCCAGGAATGACCATACGTGATTGTTCCTTTATAAAGGGTCTTTGAAAAGTTTGTGGAAAATGAAATACCTGCATAGATTTAAATTAAAAAATTGGGGACACCAAGTTAAATGTATCTTTTAATTCCAATTGACACTTTGAAGTTCCCTCATATGTTAAAAGGCAAAATAGTTGTGGGTCAATTTCTCATTTAAAAAATAGCATGTAAAAGAGTTTCATCACTTTGATTTTGCTGTTTTTAAAATGTTATAATTTCTGATTTCCATCAAAATGTAAAAACTGTAGAATGAACCAAGGTGTGGTAGAACATTAGCATTCACTGCATGTTGTCCATTAGTGTCACAAAGCTTCAAGATACACTGGATTTAGAAATAATTTTGTATTCCCATCTCCTAGTGGTATTTCATATTATTAATGCTGTTGTCAAGAAAATGAAAGGAAATTTATGCCTCTTAATTAATTCTGCTGCTCATATTTCATCTCAAGTCCTAATCTTTAATATGTGACATATTCATTCTTCTAATTCCCCAGAGTATGGAATATGCTACAGCAGAAAATGATGAACTTAGAATAAACAAATGTTACACCATTTCTGGTTGTCACAGGAAAAAAAAAACAATGTAAAGAACCTAATAATTTTGTGTATAAATGAAAATATGATACCATTCAGAATGATTTGTTTACATATATTATGCCACTCTGTTTAACATACATGTCACTATAATCATAAGGTAACCTGGTATAGACAGTGGAAAGGAGACTCAATGAGTATGGATTAATACTAGAACTTGGTGGGGCGCCAGTTTTGTCCCAGTTGCTCCTCTTCCAGTCCAGTTCTCTGCTGTGGCCCGGGAAGGCAGTGGAGGATGGCCCAAGTGCTTGGGCCCTGCACCTGCATGGGAGACCAGGAGGAAGCACCTGGCTCCTGGCTTCGGATCAGCGCAGCGCACCAGCCATGGCGGCCATTTGGGGGGTGAACTAGCGGAAGGAAGACCTTTCTCACTGTCTAACTCTGCCTGTCAAAAAAAAAAAAAAAAAAAATACTAGAACTTAGCTCCTGAACACTCACTTATTAGCTGTGTATGTCACACTGGAAGTGTTCAATTTTCTAAACCTTAGTTTTCCCTGTCTTTAAAATATCTGATTCTTGGGGTTGTTTGAATTAGATAACAAAAATGTCTATGATGGACCATGCCCACTTTCTGGCAATCACAAATTATGAAAAAAAAGTTTTCTGACCATAAAATTTGAAGATACAATCTATGGATAGTTTCAATAATTTTATTTTACTTATTTGAGAAACAGAGGAAGCATGAGCACACCACTTGACCTCTGCTGGTTTACCCCCAAATGTCTGCAATGGCCAGGATGGGGCTGTGCCAAAGTAGGGAACCAAAAACTCAATACAGGTCTCCTATGTGGATGGCAGGAACCCAACCTCTTGAGCCATCACCCCATCACCACCATGGCAGGGAACTGGAGTCAGGAGTTGGAGCTGGGTATCGATCCCAGGTACTCCAGTGTGGGACATGGGTGTCTTAACTAGTGTTTCAGCTACTCAGCCAAATACTTGCACCTTTCAACTATTTAAACTGCTTTTTGATATTAAAAAAGAGAACTCCATGTTAGCTCTCTCAGACCTACTGTCCTTGTCGACTACTGTCAGGAAACATAGCTCTTACCATTTGCTGAGCTGCCTTGGGCCCAGATGGCTGAATAGGCACCAGCTGGTCCATACTCTACCCCTTTCCAGACACTGTGGTCTGTAGTGTCACATCCTCTGACACTCTGTACAACTCCACGGGCTATTGTTACACCTGCCTGATCACAATCATCAGGAAGCAAATGCTACTCAGCTGGTGTCTGGGACAGAAAGTGTGATTCTATAAATTAAAGATCAACAAGGAGAAAGAAGGCTCAGACAGGTTGCCAAATGAGTATTCAAGCTTTTGTTGAAAGTGATATTTACAGTTATGAAACAAATTCTAAGTGAAATACTGATGTTAAAATATTGTGATTTTATGAAAATTTTTGTATTTATTAATTTTTCTTTTACTAATTAATATCTGAAACTAGTATATATTCACTTATGGCTAAATGTTTTCAAATTTTCATGACTATTTCTCATTTCCTCTTGACCTCCACCCACTGTTTCCTGCTGTCGAGCACTTCTGTTTTATAGCTTGACTGATGCTTGTGGACAGATTTGTATTATCGATCGCATATTTGTATAAAACTGCACAAAATTCATATAATTCGGTTTTTTTTGCACTTCTCTTTCCTTATTCATTTGTTCATACTTAAGGCATCCCACATTTGCATTAGTAAGATAGAGTTTAATAATTAAGTAGATTCATAATCAAAATACATTTTTTAAATCTTATATTTGTAGCAAGACATCTCACTATTCTTTCTTTGCTTCCTAATGAATCAAATTCCTGACAAACACATCAGTATGATTTTCTTTGGTGCTGAGGCAAAAAGAAAGGCTCCATGTGGGCAATACAAGCTGGAAATAAAATTTGATGAATAGGTTAGTAAAAATAGTCACTTAACTCCTTGTGAAATATATAATGTTTTAAGACAATTGAATTACTTAGTATAACTAAGACATAGCAAGCTATAAAATAGATATTTATCTGTCTACCAGATTTGATTATAAAAGGCCATGCTGCTGTAAAAAATTTCTTTTAAGATACACTTGTATTATCTATTTCATTTTTTTATTGTTTAATCATTCCTGTTTTCACAAACATTATTGGTGTTTTTTCTTTTCCTCCAGTGGGCCTATGTAGGGTTATGTGACTAACCCTTTATACTCAGAACAGTCTCATTCCTGCCATGCTTTTAACTATCATTGCTGTCTTCCCTGTTTCCTTCTGTTTTTCCTTTGTTGTCCTCTGTCATGCAGTGCTGATACCAGATTTACAGAACATATGGGTGAATCATTCCTTTGACATACAGGTGTGGTGCAAAGACTTCTGCTGGGACCTTCTGTGGCTGTGACCTGGTAAACTGGCTAATTGAAGTTGGTCTTGCCTCTGACCGTGGTGAAGCCGTGATATATGGAGATAGACTGGTGCAAGGGGGAGTCATCCAACATATTACCAATGAATATGAGTTTCGGGATGAGTACTTGTTTTACAGATTTCTTCAAAAGAGCCCTGAACAGAGTCCTCCTGTTATTAATGCAAGCCCCGCCTATGAGGAAAGATATAAAGAAATTGAACATTCATCACCTTCCTCACTTTCACCTAACACCTAAATTATGAAGGAGAGAATCCCACATGGAATCATACCCTAGCCCCAGATCTGTTACTTTTTAGCTGTGTGACTTGGGCAAGTGACAAACTCTCTGAGCTTCAGCTGCCTCTTCTGTGAAGTTTGACAAGATGTGTTCCTATCTCATGTAACATTCTGTGATTTTTATGTATATGTGAAACACAGAGGAAACTGACTTGGGAAAAAGAAAAAAACAAATCAAAATTTAAAAGTTCTGATAATGAATAATAATTGTTATAAATTACAGTAATATGCCAACATTTAAAACTCATTGTTTTCTGTAAATGTTTGCTATAATTTCAGAATCAATATCAGATTAACTAGCTGTTTCTTTACGTTGCCATGGCAAGTGTACTGTTGGCAGGAAATGAACCTTAAATTATGACAACTTTGCACTATAGATAGCACTTCCTAAAAAAAGAATTTTAATGTTTCTAATAAGAGGGTATTATTCTCTTTATGTTTTCCATTTTCTTGATGAATATTACTCATTCACAGTCTAGAAGCACTATTTTTTTAAGGTTCATCTTTTCTTGCTTTTCTATCCACAGTACTAACCTTTGCACTTAGGAAGGTAATGTAACCTCCACAGATTATGTCCACAGCCCTTCACCAGAAATATCATCTGATATTTTGTTTTGTACTACAAATAACGATTTGAGCATATTCATTTAACTACTGTCAACAGAATCATTGCTGTGTGATATATTATTTATGGTGTTTTCACAAAGCATCATAGGACAGAAGGGTAACTACTATTTTATTCCTTATAGTTAAAAAAAAAAACCTATACAGTTCAAGCTAAAATTTAAGAACTTAGCCTCCTACTGTTACCTTTAGAATTTATTTTTTAAGTAACCATGTATAAAAAATCTATACATTTTAAAATTACTAAATATTAATGTCTATCGTAATCCATTTAGGCTGCTATAACGAAACACTATAAATTAGACAGCTTATTTCTGGAGGTTGGGAAGTCCAAGATGAAGGCACTGGCAGAGTCAGTGTGTGATGGGGGCCTAATTTCTCATTCACAGATTGTGCCTCTTGCTCTGTTTTTCACCTGGGGGAAGCGAAGAACTCAGCCCTTTTTAAGACCACCAATGCCACTTGGGAGGGCCATACCCTCGTGACCCAATCAATTCCCAAAAAGCCCCTACTAATGCCATCACATTGGGATTAGATTTCAACATATGTGTATTGGGGGTATACAGACATTCAGATCATAGAACCCTCATATGAGCTTTATCTTAATTAAAAAGAGATCAATTCACATGACCATCGAGTATCTACTTAATTATTAGGTGTTAGTGCTGGTCTAACTTATTTAAAACACATTTTAAGTATTTAATTATATCATTTTTAGTGTCTCATATATAAAAGCCATTTAGAAAATAATTTATAGGGTTGGTGTCATTGCCCTTTTAATGTAACAAATATAATTTTTTTAGGAAACCTGCATGGAAACCTGTGTGTTTAACAATAAATTATACAAATTTAACAAGTAAATTAGTATACTGCTAACCTATACCAACTTTGTGATTAGGTAATGGGGATGTTTTTAAGTTGAATTGTCTTGCTACAGAAGTTTTTTAAAAAATGTATGGCCACATTGTAACTCTGAATGCTCAGAGGTAAGTGTAAGGCCTCACTGATGTGCCAGGAGACTTTTACAGTTACAGTAACAGAAATCCTCATTCACACGCATGCAGGCAACTCAAACTCAAGTGGGGAATTTGTGAACAAGTCATACTACATATGTTCTGTTATTTGCAGGAAAGGCATCTGAAAATCTTTTTCCACGGGAGACACTAAAAGAAAAACTTGGATCAGAATGATCTGCAGTTTCAGATAATAAAGGCTTTTAAGAGTTCTTTTTAGAGTTAAGGACATGCTAATTTTATTAAATGAATATATTTGTAACTGTTACTTTCTCACTGACAAAGCAAGTTTCTCAATAAAATGTCTATTTTAACTTGCATTGCCAACATCTTTTCTTGGAGTAATCTGAATAATGCAGAAGCCATCACAGAGGTCTTTTCTTTAAGTTCTCAATGTTTTCTTAAATGGTTTCCTGAGAAAGTTCAATTCTTCACACCCCTGTGGGTTCTCTGTACGGGGCCTCAGCCAATTATGCATTCAGTTAATTTTTTTATGAATAAGTCAATATGGCATTAGATTCTTTTTCATACATTTCATGATTTTAAATATGCACTGTCACAGCTGGGAAAGTTATCTGATACAATTTTGATTAAAACTACCCCTTTGATACTAATCTTCAGCATAGTCAATTGTTGTCTTAACTTTCAATGAGTAATTCCATGCCTAGCTTATGCTTAGCTTTCAATATTTTTAGGATAAGATAACGTACACTTGGCATTTTGAGAATAATGATTAATGATCGGTAAATTTCAAAAGTAAGAAAAATGTGAAATTGTTGTTTTACCAGTTTGCTATGCAGTAGAATGCAGCTGTTTCTCCCCCTTCATCTGTCACGTAAATGTTAAACTACTTCACAACACCAGCACAGGCAGTCATGTGATGAGCAATGGCTAGGAGCAGTCCAGGATCATAAATGTTATCATTGTTCTTTAGGGAAGAATGAGGTTATAAATTTCTGCAATTAGTATGATTAAAAACCTGATGTAACTATTTGAAAAGAAAAAACATGTACTCTGTAGACCTGTTTTTGACAAATTTTAGGAGGAGGAACTTGAGGAACTTTCCAAAATTCTAAACTGCATAATTATTTCCAGACCAAACTTTCTGATTGAACATTAATATAAAAACTGATATTTCTATAAAAGATAAAAAAACTAGTTTTATCCAAAGTACTAAGTTGATTAGAGTATTCCCTTGGTTTACATAATAGTAAATAATAAACAACATTTTTCACCCCCCATCTTAATTTCAGCTACTTTACTTTTTAGTTGTAATTCACAAATGGAACTTAAGAAAATTTAAAAATTTTTAAAATACTCCAAGGCATTAAATACCCCATGCAAGTACCTTCTTTACATCAGTACTTGACTGCTCATATAATATGTATTGAGCGTCTAGCATGTGCCAGACATGATACTGAACACTGGGTACTCAACAGTGAGAACAAACATGATTCCTACCATCATAGAACCTCTGTGAACAAAAGATGCCAGGAATATATTGACATGTTATCAGGATCACATGTGGCTCCAAGAGTATGCAACGGGGTACGACCTTGTGGTACGGGGAAAACTTCCCTAAGGGAGTTATGTCTTGGCAAAACTCTGAAAGATGATAAGGACTACTTATATAAAGAGGAGCACATGGAATGAATGGAGCAAGCAGAGGGTATGGCTATGAAAAAGGAATGGGGCACACTGAAGGATCTGAAAGAGCGGCATAGTTGAAGCTTAAAAACGATGATGATGACACAGTGGGTAAAGCTGCCACCTGTGATGCAGGCATCCCATATGGGCATTGGTTCAAGATCCAGTTGCTCTGTTTCCAATCTAGCTCCCTGCTAATGTGCCTGGGAAAGCAGCAGAAGATGGTCCAAGTGCTTGGGCCCCTGCACCCAAATGGGAGACTTGGAAGAAACTCCTGGCTCCTGGCTTCCACATGGTCCAGCCCTGGCTGTTGCAGCCATTTGGGGAGTAAACCAACACACACACACACACACACACACACACTCTCTCTCTCTCTCTCTCTCTCTAACTTTGACTTTCAAATAAATAAATCTTAAAAACAGTCATGAGGGGCTGGTCTTGTGGCTCTTTAAACCATCTCCTGTGACAATGGCATCCCAAATCACCACCAATTCAAATCCATCTCCCTGCAAATGTGCCTGGGAAAGCAGTGGAAGATGGCCCAAGTGCTTGGACCTCTGCCACCCACATGGGAGCCCAGATGGAGATCCACGCTCCTGGCTTTGCCCTGACCCTGCCTTGGCTGTTGCAGCCACTTGTGGAATGATCTCTTTTTTCTCTTAAGTCTTTCAAATAAATTTTAGGGGAGGGGGGAATGGTGAAATACACAAGATATAAACAGGGCAGCCAGCAGGATTTTGTTGCTATTTGTTAAGGATTAGGACTTTAACATAAAGACAATGCATCTTCAAAAGAGTCTTAGACTCAACAGTGAGAAAATGAGTAACCTGATTAAGAAATGGGCAAAAGATCTGAACATACACTTCACAAAAAAAGATATATAGATGGAAAATAAGAATATGAAAAGATGCTCAATATCATATGCCATAGGGAATTGCATATTTAAGCAATGAGATATAACTACAAACCTATAACAATGGCCATAAAGAAAAAAAATGCAAGGGTATAGAATAACAGGAACTCTCATTTGTTGTTGATGGGGATGCAAAATGGTAGCCACTCTGGGAGTCAGTTTTGCAGTTTCTTACAAAAGTAAACATCCTTTATTATATACTCCAGCAGTGGCATTTCTTGTTATCTATCCAAAATGAACTGAAAACTTATGTCCACATGAATTTTAAAAAAATAATTAATTTGGGGCCAGCATTGTGGCATAGTGGGTGGAGCTGCCACCTGCAACACTGGCATCCCATATGGGAGCCAGTTTGTGATGTGGTTGTTCCACTTCAGATCCAGCTCCCTGCTGATGGCCTGGGAACACAGTAAAGGATGGCCCAAGTGTTTGGGTCCCTGCCACCCATGTGGAAGACCTGGATGGAACCCCTGGCTCCTGGCTTTGGCTTGGCCCAGCACTAGTCATTGTGGCCATTTTGGGGGTGAACCAGTAGATGCAGGATTTGTTTCTCCCTCTCCTTCAAAATAAATAAATCTTAAAAAATTACTTAATTGGGGCTGGCATTATGGCATAGGTTAGGCCTCCACCTGTAATGCTGGTATCTCCTATGGACAACTGTTCAAGTCCTGGTTACTCCACTTTTGATCCAGCTCTCTGCTAATGTGCCTGGGAAAGTACTGGAATAGCCCAAGTGCTTGGGCCCCTGTACCCACATGGGAGACTCCAAAGAAGCTCCTGGCTCCTGGCTTTGGCCTGGCCCAGCTTGGCTGCTGTAGCCATTTGGGAAGTGAACCAGTAAGTAGGAAATTTTCTCTTTCTCTCTTTCTCTCTCTCTCTCTCTCTCTCTCTCTCTCTCCTCCTGTCTCTGTATCTCTGCCTTTCAAATAAATTTAAAATTTTTTTAATTAATTAATTTGAATGGCAGAGTGATAGAGAGGGAGAGAAAGGTATCTTCCATTCCCTGGTTCACTACCTAAATGCCCATTACAGCTGGAGCTGGGCTAGCCTGAAGCCAGGAGCCAGGAACTCCATCCGTATCTCCAACATGAGTGGCAGGAATCCATGTACTTCAGCCAGCATCGGATGCCTCCAAGGTGTATTAGCAGGAAGCTGTATCAGAAGCAGAGGAGTCAGGAATCTATCCCAGGCAGACTGATAGAGAATGCAGGCATCCCAAAGGTAGCTTGATCCACTGTAATACGATGCCCACCCCCACATGCATGTTTATAGCAGATTTCTTCATAATTGCCAAAACGTGGATGCAAGTAAGATGTCCTTTAATAGTGACACATACTGACAATGGAATAATATTTAGCATTAAGAAATAACTATCAACCCACAAAGACACAGAGGAACCTTAATTCTCACTACTAAGTTAATGAAGGCAATTTGAAAAACTTGATGATTCCCACTATATGGAATTCTGGAAAAGACACAAGTGTGGAAAGAATAAAATCAGTGGTTTCCAAGGGTTAGAGGGGAGGCTGAGCTGAATAGGAAAGCACAGAGGATTTTTTGGGCAGTGAAACTACTCTGCATGATAATAGTATATATGTATCAGTATACATTGTCAAAGTCCATAAAATGAACAAAACCATGAGTGACCTCCAAAGAAAATCAGACTTTGGGTGATAATGATGTGTCCGTTAAGGTTCTTCAGTTGTTACAAATGTGCCACTCTAGTGCTATGATGTTGACAGTGCAGGAGGCTGTGCATGTAGGGGATGGAGTATATTAGAACTCTCTACTTTCTACTAAATTTTGCTACAAACCTAAAAAAAAATTTAGGAGAGAACATGTGATCAAATTTACATTTTTAATAGATAACTCTGGCTGCAGTTATAAAGTATAAAAATGGAGGGGGGGCGGTGCTGTGGCACAGTGGGTTAATGCCCTGGCCTGAAGTGCCGGCATCCCATATGGGTGCCAGTTCAAGTCCCATCTGCTTGTCTGCTGTGGCCTGGGATAGCAGTAGAAGATGGCCCAAATCCTTGGGCCCCTACACCCACTTAGAAGACCTGGAAGAAGCTCCTGGCTCCTGCCTTCAGATCGGTGCAGCTCCAGCCGTTGCAGCCATCAGGGGAGTGAACCATCAGATAGAAGACCTCTCTCTCCTTCTCTGCCTCTCCTTCTCTCTCTGTGTAACTCTGACTTTCAAGGAAAATAAATAAAAAATCTTTAAAAAAAAAGTATAAAAATAGGTATAGGAGAACAATTAAAATGCAGTGGTCCAAATGACAGATGGTGCTAGTTTGATCTAAGGCAGTGACCAAAGAGAAGGTGAAAACATGCTATTGCTATGAAGAAAAATAAGATTCAAGTATGTGGATGGGGGAATTAAGATGGCAGAATAGGGATGGAGTTTACTGCTCTAGTCTAGGAGAAGAGTTTTAAAAAAGTGGATAGAGTGCAGTCTCAGGAAAAAGGGAGAAAACGGCAGAGGAAGCTCTATGAAAATTAGAGGGACACAGGACCTATGTGGAGGGTGTGCACACCCACAACACAGGACCCCAGCAGTCAAGAGCCTTCACACCAGCATTGGAGAGAGAGGTGAGATCAGATTGCAGCAGCCCAAGCCACTGTCGATAAAGCTTTAGGAAGAGCCTAGAGGGAATCCGGCTTAGAGCCCTGTGGGGTGTGTGTACCTGCCAAAGTAGAGGAGAAAAAAAAGGAGGGGCACTTCTCTCTCTCCCTGATCATCCTGCAATAGCATCCTGTAACAAGTTGACAGAGAGCGGGTGCCATTTTGGATATATGTAACAGCTGGCCAGCTTGTGCCCACACCCAGCAACTAGCTGAATGGAGACTCCTGAGTGTGGTGGGGAGAACTGACAGGAGGCTGGGTGCTTATGACTGTGGGAGGCTTGTGTGCCAGGACTATGAAAAAACTGAGGTTCTGTGTGGAAGGGCTCATGTTGGGACTTTGGGCAGTCACTGTGGAAGGCTCCACACCCTCAGGACTCCCTGGTTACCTGGTGAGGGACATTGCTAGGGAATCTGAGCTTATACTGAAGACTGCACGAATCCTTTGTGTGGTCCTTGTGTGGTAGAGTAGATGAATATTATATCCACTGGGGCTAACGCTCCAGCACAGGTCTCCTTTGAGGAGAGGAGCTCAGTTGAGCAGAATAAACTTTCCTTCTGATAAAAAAAAAAAAGAAGAAGAAGAAGAAAGAGAAAAGAAACAGAAATTGAAAGAATTTGTCATCACCTGTCCAGCCTTTCAAAAGAGGCTTGAGGATGTGCTGCACACAGAAACAGAGAAACATGGCCATCACTACAAAAGGTAAAGGAAGAAAAATCTCCTAGGAAAAGTACAAAGGAAATCCAAAGTAAAAAATAGGAATATTTATGGGAAAATAGCAGGACAAACTCATAACTCATTACTTATCAACAGTCACTTTGAAAGTAAATGGTTGCGGAGCCAGCACCATGAGCAGCACTAGGTTAATCCTCCACCTGCAGCGCCAGCATCCTATATGGGCGCCGGTTCTAGTCCTGGTTGCTCCTCTTCCAGTCCAGCTCTCTGCTGTGGCCTGGGAAAGCAGTGGAGGATGGCCCAAGTGCTTGGGCCCCTGCACCTGCATGGGAGACCAGGAAGAAGCACCTGGCTCCTGGCTTCGAATCGGCACAGCTCCACCACTTGGGGAGTGAACCAACAGAAGGAAGACCTTTCTCTTTGTCTCTCTCTCACTGTCTGTAACTCTGCCTGTCAAATAAATAAATAAATCTTTAAAAAAAAAATAGAAAGTAAATGGTCACAATTCTCTAGTTAAAAGATATAGACTGGCTGAATGGATTCAAAAACAAAGCTCATCTATTTGCTGTCTACAAGAAACACATCTCACCAACAAAGATGCATGCTGATTTGCCAGAGACCAGCTCCAGCCAATCCAGGGGCCCCAAGGTATGAGAGATGTCGGCGCTCAAAGAAATGAGAGACACACTCACAGCAAGGCTGATGGCATGGCTCTGGCTCTAGAGCACCAGACTTTATTTTTATATCATAAGTCAAATAATGATTCTTCTTTTCTCACAATAACAAGTTTGTTGTCCGTTTTTTTCTAATTACAATTCCTTTGATTTTCAAGGACATATTCAGAGCATGGGTTACAATCACAGACAGGTGAGAGAACGGGCTGCCCACACACGCCAAGGCCTGGAGTGCTGTTGAGCTAAGCAGAAATTGGCTACACAAGCTAGAATTTCACTTTCCTAATCTAATCTTTACTAGAAGCCCCAAGTTCAAAGCAGGCCCTTTTTAAAATGTATCCCCTCTTTGCAGTTCTTTCTGTAATTCTTTAATTGCTTTATTGTACTTATTTTTTAGATCTATTCCACCGTTTTGACATCCTAACCATTGTAGTATCTGTAGCATATATTGAATTAAAGCTTTAATAACATTTGTCTTTATTTAGTGGGAAGTATATACTAAGGAGCCTGCTGCCTTTTAATTCTTTTCCACAAACAGCTTAACCTTGCATAAAGCATTAACCCTTTCTCCTATACTAACATTCTGCTTGATAAGAATTCTACAAAGCAATGGACATTTTGGGGATTATGAGACTAAGTGCTCATCCCTAAAATTAGAAATACAGAAATCATTAGCAGGACCACCAGGAAGCTCCGGCTTTCTTATGCAGAGTGTAGTTCCCAACAAACCTAAAACCACCAAGAGGACTGCAGCTGTCCTTCTCACACCTTGCTGAGACAGACCTTCCACTTTGACCTCATCAGCCAGCTGAAGTTGCCTTGGCCATGCCACTGACTGAAAGTGAAAGGATGGAAAAAGATATTCTTCGCTAACAAAAAAACAAAAAAGAGCTGGTGTAGCCATCCTAATATCAGACAAAATAAACTTTAACACAAAAACAGTTAAAAGACAGAAAGAAAGGCACTATGTAATGATTAAGAGATTAATTATAAACAGGAAGATGTAACTATTATAAATGTATATTCACCAAATTACAGGGTACCTGGCTATTTAAAAGAAATGTTAAGAGATCTAAAGGCAAACATAGAATCAAATACAATATAATGGGGAACTTCAATATACCACTTTCAGAAGTGGACAGATCAATCAGACAAAATCAGCAAGGAAACAATAGCATTAATCAACACTATAGACCAAATGGACTTAACAGATATCTACAGAACTTTCCATCCTACAGTTGCAGAACGGACATTCTTCTAGGCAGTACATGGAGCTTTCTCTAGGATTGACCACATACTAGGCCATAAAGGAAGAATCAAAATCATACCATGCATCTTCTCGGACCACAGCAGAAATCAGCAACTCAGGAATCTCGAGAACATATGCAAACACATGGGGACTGAATAATATGCTCCTGAATGAACAGCGGGTCATTGAAGAAATCAGAAGAGAAATCAAAAAATTTCTAGAAACAAATAAGATGACAATACAACATATCTAAACTTAATGGGATATAGCAAAAGCAGTGTTAAGAGGAAAGTTTATAGCAATAGGTGCCAACATAAAGAAATTGGAAAGACATTAAATAAATGAGCTCTCAATGCCATCTCAAGGATCTAGAAAAACAACAGGAAACCAAACCAAAAACTAGTAGGAGAAAAGAAATAATTGAAATTAGAGAATTATAAATTAAACAAAATTGAAACAAAAAAATACTACAAATGATCAGCAAAATAAAGAGCTGGTTTCTGAAAAATAAACAAAATTGACATACCATTAGCACAAATAACAAAAAAAAGGGAGAGAGAAGACCCAAATTAATAAGATTAGAGATGAAAAAGTAAATATAGGAGCCGACGCTGTGGTGTGCAGCGGGTTAAAGCCCCAGCCTGCAGTGCCGGCATCCCAAATGGGTGCAGGTTTGTGTCCTGGCTGTTCCTCTTCCCGTCCAGCTCTCTTCTATGGCCTGGGAAAGCAGTGGAAGATGGCCCAAGTCCTTGGGTCTTTTTACCCACATGGGGAACCTGGAAGAGGCTCCTGGCTCCTGGCTTCGGATCAGCTCAGCTCTGGCCATGGCGGTCATTTGGGGAGTGAACCAACGGAACAGAAGACCTTTTGCTCTCTCTCTGACTCTACCTCTCTTTCTGTAACTCTGTATTTCAAATAAATAAAATAAATCTTTTAAAAAAAGTAAATATAACAACAGACACCACAGACATACAAAGAATCATCAGAAATTACTATAAAGAACTCTATGCCACAAACCAGGAAACCAAGAAGAAATGGATAGATTCCTGGACACATATAACCCAACTAAATTGAGCCAAGAAGACACAGAAAACCTAAACAGACCAATAACCAAGATGGAAATTGAATCAGTAATAAAGACCCTCCCAACAAACAAAAGCCCGGGACCAGATGGCTTCACTGCTGATTTCCACCAGACATTTAAAGAAGAACTAACTCCAATTCTTCTTAAGCAATTCAAAACATCTGAAAGGGAGGGAATCCTCCCAAATTTGTTCTATGAATCCAGCATCACCTTAATTCCTAAACCTCAAAAAGATGCAACTGAGAAAGAGAGCTACAGACCAATTTCCCTGATGAATATAGTTGCAAAACTCCTCAACAAAAATGTAGCCAATCAAATCCAACAACATATCAGAAAGATCATTCAACTGGACAAAGTGGGATTTATCCTTGATATGCAATGTTCAACATTGACAAATCAATCAATGTGATACATCACATTAACAAACTGAAGAACAAAAACCATATGATTCTCTCAATAGATAAAGAGAAAGCATTTGATAAAATATAACACCCTTTCTTTTTTTTTTTATTTTTTTGACAGGCAGGGTGGACAGTGAGAGAGAGAGGCAGAGAGAAAGGTCTTCCTTTTGCCGTTGGTTCACCCTCCAATGGCCGCTGCAGCCGGCGCACCGTGCTGATCCGATGGCAGGAGCCAGCAGCCAGGTGCTTTTCCTGGTCTCCCATGGGGTGCAGGGCCCAAGCACTTGGGCCATCCTCCACTGCACTCCCTGGCCACAGCAGAGAGCTGGCCTGGAAGAGGGGCAACCGGGACAGAATCTGGCGCCCCAACCAGGACTAGAACCCGGTGTGCCGGCGCCGCTAGGCGGAGGATTAGCCTAGTGAGCCGCGGCGCCGGCCGAAGACCCTTTCATGACGAAAATTCTAAGCAAATTGGTTATAGAAAGAACATTCAAAAAAAAAAAAAAAAAAAGGAAGGAAGGAAGGATGGACGTTCCTAAACACAATCAAGGCCACTTATGACAAACCCACAGCCAGCATCCTATTGAATGAGGAAAAGTTGGAAGTATTTCCCACTGAAATCCAGAACTGGACAAGAATGTCCACTATCACTACTGCTATTCAGTATAGCCAGAGCCATTAGGCAAGAAAAAGAAATCAAAGGGATACAAATTGGGAAGGAAGAAGTAAAGATATCCCTATTTACAGATGACACGATTCTATATATAGGGGATCCAAAAGACTCCACTAAGAGACTATTGTAACTCATAGAAAAGTTTGGTAAATTCCCAGGATATATAGTCAATACACAAAAATCAATAGCCTTTTTATACACAGACAATGCCATGGCTGAGAAAGAACTTCTAAGATCAATCCCATTCACAATAGCTACAAAAAACATCAAATACATTGGAATAAATTTAACCAAAGATGTCAAAGATCTCTACGATGAGAATAACAAAACATTGGCCGGCGTCACGGCTCAGTACGCTAATCCTCCACCTGCGGTGCCGGCACTCCGGCTTCTAGTCCCGGTTGGGGTGCCGGATCCTGTCCTGGTTGCTCCTCTTCCAGTCCAGCTCTCTGCTGTGGTCCGGGAGTGCAGTGGAGGATGGCCCAAGTCCTTGGGCGCCTGCACCCGCATGGGAGACCAGGAGGAAGCACCTGGCTCCTGGCTTTGGATCAGCGTGGTGCGCCGGCCGCAGCGCACTGGCCACAGCAGCCATTGGAGGGTGAACCAACAGAAAAGGAAGACCTTTCTTTCTCTCTCTCTCTCACTGTCCACTCTGCCTGTCAAAAAAAAAAAGAATAACAAAACATTAAAGAAAGAAATAGAGGAAGATAAAAAAAATGGAAAAATCTTTCATGTTCATGGATTGGAAGAATCAATATCATCAAAATGTTCATTCTTCCAAAAGCAATTTACAGATTCAGTGCAATACCAGTCAAAATACCAAGGGCATTATTCTCAGATGCAGAAAAAATGATGTTGAAATTCATATGAAAACATAGGAGACCCAGAATAGCTAAAGCAATCTTATACAACAAAAACAAAGCTGGAGGCATCACAATACCAGATTTCAAGACAAACTATAGGGAGTTATAATCAAAACACCCTGGTACTGGTACAGAAATAGATGGATAGACTAATGGAACAGAATAGAAATGCAAGAAATCAATCCAAGCCTCTACAACCAACTTATATTTGACCAAGGAGCTAAAACTCATCCCTGGACAAGGCAGTCTCTTCAACAAATGGTTATGGGAAAGCTGGATTTCCACATGCAGAAGTATAAAGCAAGAACCTTTCCTTACACCTTGTACAAAAATCCACCCAAAATGGATTAAAGACCTAAATCTATGACCCAACACCATCAAATTATTAGAGAATGTTGGAGAAACCCTCCAAGACATTGGCATGGGCAAAGCCTTCTTGGAAAAGACCCCAGAAGCATAAGCAATCAAAGCCTAAATTCACAAATGGGATTACATCAAATTCAGAAGGTTCTGTACTATGAAGAAACACTCAGGAAAGTAAAGAGGCAATCGACAGAATTGAAGAAATTATTTGTAAACTATTCAACTGATGAAGGATTAATAACCAGAATATATTAAGAGATCCAGAAACTCAACAACAAAACAGACATCCTAGTAAAGAAATGGGCAAAGGACTTAAACAGACATTTTTCAAAATAGAAAATCCAAATGGCCAACAGACAGATGAAAAAATGTTTAGGATCACTAGCCATCAGGGAAATGCAAATCAAAACCATAGTGAGGTTTTACCTCACCCTAGTTAGAATGGCTTTCACACAGAAATCAACAAACAACAAATGCTGGTGAGGATGTAGGGTAAAAGGTACCCTGAAATCCACTGTTGGTAGAATGTAAACTGGTAAAGCCACTATGGAAGACAGTATGGAGATACCTCAAAAGTCTGAATATAGATCAGCATATGCCCCAGTCATCCCACTGCTGGGAATTCACCCAAGGGAAATGAAATAAGCATATGAAAGATTTATCTGTACCCCCATGTTTACTGCAGCTCAATTCACAATAGCTAAGACATGGAATCAACCCAAATGCTCGTCAAGTGAAAACTGGATTAAGAAATTATGGGATATGTACAGTATGGAACACTATATAGATGTAAAAAAAATAAATCTGGTCATTTACAACAACAAATTGGATGAATCTGGAAAACATCATATTTAGTGAAATAAGCCAGGCCCAAAGGGACAAATACCACATGTTCTCTCTGATCTGTAATAACTATAGAGCACCTAAAAGGCAATCTGTAGAAGTGAAATTGACAATTTGAGAAGCAATGACTTGAACAGCCCTTGTCTTGACTGTTGAGAAAGTTTTTTTTTTTTTTGAATACTATTTGTTGAACTCTTTAATTAACATAGAGTTAAACATATGTATATAAAGTCAATTGAAAATAGATCTCAGTAAAAAATAAGAGTGGAAATAAGAAAGGGAGGAGGAAGAGGGGTTATGAGTATAGGTGGGAGGGTGAGCATGGTGGGATGAATCACCATGTTCCAAAAGTTGTAAATATGAAGTGTATGAAGTTTGTAACTGTAAAGCAGTATAGTTCTGCATACATTCTTACAGACTTACTTCTAAGGGTACATTTTAAAAACTTGTCATGGACCCCAAATCCCCTTAAGCTGGGTGGTAAAAGTACCATCTTAAGTGTTAAAGTGATCATATGGATAGGATTAAAGGTCTGGTATTAACAACAGATAGAATTAAAAAGGAGTGAATTCTCCAACATGGGAAGCAATCCATACAGCAGACTCATAGAATGACAACCGCTTTAAATAGCACTCCAACCTCAGAATCAGTAGTTAATGCATTCTGGTCTGGCTGAAAAGCCCATAAGAGCATTTCAGGCATGGAAAGCCAAGACATGGGGCAAAAAATGTCCTACATGAGGATCTCAGTGGGTGAGACCCCAGTGGAAAGAAGTGGTCATCAAAGGAGGTACTTTTCTCTGAAGGGAATAGAGAACTTCCACAGTATTCTCTACATACTGATGGAGTTTGTGGATTCAAAAGTCTTCCATAGCCTAGGTAGCTCATGTCAAGAGCCTTGGGTGATCACTGACATCATATATAAGAGTGTTAATTTTTAAATTAACACTACTCCCATGCAGGACCTCTGTCCTCAAAGTTGTTATTATAACTATGTCTAAGTGCTCCCAAAATATGTATCATTCTTAGATGCTTCATTAAAGTTAATTAAGTTTCTTTAAAAAAAAAAAAACAACAAGAAATAAAGGAAAAGAATTAACTGTGAGATGTAATGACTTTGAACAGCCCTTGTCTTGACTGTTGAGGAACAGGGTTTTTTAAAATTTTGTTTTGTTTTGTTGCTTTTTTTAACCCAGAAAATTGTTTAACTCTTTACTTAGTATAGGGTTGGTATTCTGTGTAAAAAGTTAATTGAAAATGGATCTTAGTGAAGAATGTGACTGGGAATGGGAGAGGGACAAGGAGGAGGGGTGGAAGAGTGGGTGGGAGTTTGGGTATGAAGGGAAGAATCACTATATTCCTAAAATTGTACTTATGAAATGCATGAAGTCTATATTCCTTAAATAAAAATATTCTTTAGGGGAAAAATTAAAAAATAAAAATACATTAAAAATATTAAAAAGATTCAATAATGTGTTCCTGGATTATCAGTGAAATGCTTATCCTTAATTCCCTCATATTCTGAGAGAGAAAGGGAAGTATGAGGTATACACAAAGGTTTTCAATTTAAGATCACCCATCACCAACCATACATAGATAAGCAGAGTCAACCAAGTTCTTCATCTGACGTCTTTTCCTTGTATTAGACAAGGGCAATGGTAGGCCAGTTATGGTTTTTATGAGAGACCTTTGGAAAAATAACTTCCAGGGAACCTTTTAAATATAACAACACCTTTAAAATTGTAATGATATTCTTTTTTTTTTCTTGTTCATTATATGCTTTATTGAAGACAAAAGCCCCAAAACACATCCACCACCCCCCAACCATTAGTAGGCAGAGTCTTCCTTCAGGTAGCCATGTCTATGGGTATCCCAAGATATAGCTCTCTCCTCAAACATTTCATCTCAACTATAAAAATGGAGCTGCAAAGGATATACAAAGATAAATGAGATTTTCTTGCCATTGTCTAATACAAACACTTCAGGTGACTCAAGAAACATGAGTAACAAGAAGTGAGAACTATGTAATTAACGAATGGAATGTCTGCTACCTATGTTGGAATTGGCGCCTCTGACAAAATCAGTTTGTGTGGACATGAGCACATGGAGAAACATGTGCCAGGTAATTGCTTCTATTGGTTTCCAGAAGGCACATGTCTCCTACACCCTCTTGGTAATGAAAGACAAACAACAGAAGTATCCAGTATTTATATCTTGCCCACTTTGAGGTATTGAATGCATAAGGAGAAGATTAGTTATATCCAAATAGCACACAATAAAATATTTTTAAACTGACATGGTTAAGTGTTAAGATTTTTAGAAATCAAAATAGTTCACATAATTTTTAACTAAAGTCAAAGCTAATAAATCTTCCATGGTAATGATTTAAGTGCAAGTGATGCTGGTTTTCTTTCTTTCTTTCTTTCTTTCTTTCTTTCTTTCTTTCTTTCTTTCTTTCTTTCTTTTTTTTTTTTTTACAGTGAGAGTGGATAGTGAGAGAGAGAGAGACAGAGAGAAAGGTCTTCCTTTTGCCGTTGGTTCACCCTCCAGTGGCCGCCATGGCTGGTGTGCTGCAGCCGGCGCACAGCGCTGATACGAAGGCAGGAGCCAGGTACTTATCCTGGTCTCCCATGGGGTGCAGGGCCCAAGCACTTGGGCCATCCTTCACTGCCTTTCCGGGCCACAGCAGAGAGCTGGCCTGGAAGAGGGGCAACTGGGAAAGAATCCGGTGCCCCGACTGGGACTAGAACCCGGTGTGCCGGCGCCGCTAGGTGGAGGATTAGCCTAGTGAGCCGCAGCGCCGGTGCTGGTTTTCTTTCCCATTCATTTCATTGCTTCAGAGTAAAGGTAGATCAGTTTTTCTTGAACAAGTCAATGCAGCTCTGCAAGAGGGAGACATTATTCCTGGCATGCTTTATTTCCAGTTCAGACATTTCAATTAGATTCTTTCTAAATGCTGCCATTCTCTTCCGCTTGAAATTTACCAGTTCTTCTTTAGCAGACTCAGAAAGCTGTTCAAATTTCTGGCAGCATTCCTGCTGGTGTGCCTCTGCCAACTTGACATCTCTGCTTTTCAGCCGGGCTTTATCCAGAGCTTTGTTTGAGTTCTCATAGTCAATGAGGGCCTTAGTATGTCTGTAGAAGAGGTCCTTTGCAGCCTCTATGTTGAGCATGTAGTAATGGAGGAGTTCTGTGAGCTTTAAATCTTCATCTGATGAGACGCGACCCTCTACTTTCCTAAGTTTTTCAAACAGCTCAGCAACCTTCAACAGGTACTTTTTGATGACTGTGGGCTCTTCCAAAGCCAGGCTGTGCAAGCAAGCTGCAGTGTGGATATAGTCGTCTGCAACATTTTTATGAGACCTGGTCATCTTGTCAGCTTTCCCACAGGAGTCCTTGATCCTGTTGTAGTAGTTAATGAAGAAGGTCTTCTCTTGCTCAAAGAAGTCATCTACCTCCTTAACTCCAGAAAAAAGGACTTCATCAGCACTTTTCACCACACTTTTGAAAAAGCCACCAAACATCTCTTTGGTATTTTTCCGCCTGACACTTAGATCCTGATCATATTCCAGGAAAACATGAAAGTTGCGATCTTTACTGAGAACAGGGTAAGAAGAAAGCCGTTGAAGAAAGACTTCATGGGAGGACACAGTCTTCTTAAAGACAGCGAGATACTCAGCCTCCAGTTCTTGTTTCATCTTGGCAAATTCTTCCTTGGTCATAGACCCTTCACCGTCTCCAAGTTTCTGCATCTTCTCATGAGGGCCATTGAAGTCAGGCTTTGTAGGTGCAGGTGGAATAATAAGCCCAGCATACTCTGTTGTTTCAGTGAGTGTGTCCTGTAGCCACACAAAGTCTTCATGTTGCCTCGTAACAGAAAACTCTGGGCTCTGAAACGTGGGCAGTGTGGTCTTGGTGTGCGCTGTAAATTTGACCTTATCTCTCTCGCTGAGTGCATCAGGTATGTCAATCTGAAGTGAAGGATCAATGTTCAGGTCCACAGACACAGATCTCAGCTTGCTGCGGTCCTCCTCCTGCTGCTGCAGCAACTCGGGAACCGTGGCCATGACGACACGGGCCTCGAGCAGGTGCTGCCTGGCCTCGCTCCGCACCACGCGGAGGCCGCTGACCGCAGGACTGCGACGAGAATGCGGAGCCACGGGCACTCTCTGAGCGAGGCACATCTTGAGGTAATGATATTCTAATGATAGCAAGCACTAGACAAGATAATGCAATCAAGTGCCAAAAATGGACATCTCTAGAGCCAAAAATAATGTATTTTTAATTAGATTTTTTTTACTTATTTCTACAATTTTTGTCTCACTTGGTAAAATTTATGAAACTTTAACAAAGATTTGTAAACCTTGGGAAGACATTACTCATTTACAATGTTCATAATATACAATGCATTATAATTTTCATGATATTATGTTTATATTATATAATAATTCTACTTCATTGCCACTGCCTCATGTTTGTTTCTGTTTTTAACAACTGAATAGAAGTAAAAGGAGAGAGAGATTTGAGACACAAAAAACTGTTATCTCCTAAGGTCTTGGTTTTCTTATCCCATTCCCTAATCTCCCAAATAAGCTCTTCTAAAAATATCTTATTAACATAAGAGCCCATTAAAGGGATGGGGCCCTACCCACCCCTGTTGATAATTAGAGCTACAAGCTATTTGGTCAGCCAAATCCTGACAAAGAGTCTGTTTGAGTTTAGTAAAATTGCATGTACAGAATTAACCCGCTATAATGATGAAGACATAATACATAAATCCAGAAAATTTTCTTGTTAGAAGTGGTCAATATTTGCCCAAATCAAAAAAAAACTGAACTAAACAAAAACTTGCCACTTGACGTAACTTCTATTACTAAAGAAAAATCTGCTTTCTTGGTATAACTGAGAAAATTATTTGAAGGTACTACATGATCACAATCAATATAAATCCATTTATCACTGTAATGTTTCACATTTTATGTAGAATCGAATACTTAATTATTCTGCCAAACAAAAGTTACTGTGGTTAAAAACAAAATGACACAAGTGTATTACCTGGCATAACACCTGGCTATCCCACGATATATGTGTTCAATCCCAGTGTTTTTTCCTCATTATTTCAACAAGACTATGTAATTGTAATAGTCAAGATATTACTTGAAAGCTACTCAAGAATAATCAGATCTGTCCAACTAGGTTACAATGTTTATAAGGTGATAGTGTCTAGCTTCCAGGGAGATTGCACACCATTTTTATGATCACTAAGAACTAATATTTGACTTATAAATTCTAATCTCATCTTTTGTACTTTGAGAAAAGAGATTAACAATCTTATCCACATCAAGATGCTTGTTTTCAAGAATTGATTCCATCTCTTTGAAGAGTTCTGTCTCCAGTTTCCTCATGTTGTCCAACAATGTTTTGCCTTTTTCCTGAAAAATTAAAAATATTTTTATAAATACATACACAAGAAAAACCAAATTCCAAATCAACTCTACAGAAAAGTTTTTTTATTCTGAGTTCTGCTTCAGGCTTGGTTCCCCTCTATTCTTTAGCTTTAGAAGGAATAAAATTCTTTTTTTTTTTTTTAATTTGAAAGAGTTACACAGAGAGAGGAGAGGCAGAGAGAGAAAGAGAGGTCTTCCATCTGATGGTTCACTCCCTAACTGGCCGCAGCGGCTGGAACTGAGCCGATCCAAAGCCAGGAGCCAGGAGCTTCTTATGGGTATCCTACATGGGTGCAGGGGCCCAAGGACCCGGGCCATCTTCCACTGCCATCCCAGACCATAGCAGAGAGCCGGATCAGAAGAGGAGCAGCAGGGACCAGAACCAGCACCCACCGGTGCCTCAGGCTAGGGCGTGTTGTGGCACAGTGCCTGTGATGCTGGATTCCATATCTGGGCACTGGGTTGAGTCCCAGTTGCTCTGCTTCTGACCCAGCTCCCAGCTAATGTGCCTGAGAAGGCAGTGGAAAATGGCCCAAGTACTTGGAACCCTGCCACCCATGTGGGAGACCAGATGGAGTTCCAACTCCTGGCTTCAGCTTGGAACAAGCCAAACCATCACAGCTGGTTGAGAAATAAACTGCAAGTGGAAGATCTCTCTGTCTCTCCCTTTCTGTCACTCTTTCAAGAAAATAAATAAAATAAAATAAGAAAATAAAATAAGAAGGAGGGAGGGAGGAAGGAAAAAGGGGCCGGCGCTGTGGTGCAGTGGGTTAAAGCCCTGGCCTGAAGCACCAGCATCCCATATGGCCGCTGGTTCAAGACCCGGCTGCTCCACTTCCGATCCAGCTCTCTGCTATGGCCTGGGAAAGCAGAAGATGGCCCAAGTCCTTGGGCCCCTGCAGCCGTGTGGGAGATCTGGAAGAAGCTCCTGGCTCCTGGCTTTGGATTGGCACAGCTCCAGCAGTTGCAGCCAATTGGGGAGTGAACCATCGGATGGAAGACCTCTCTTTCTCTGCCTCTCCTCTCTCTGTATAACTCTTTCAAAGAAATAAATCTTAAGGGTAAAAAAAGGAAAAAGAGAATAAAATTCTTTGAAAAAAATTTATCATTCTAGCTGGTGCCATGGCTCAATAGACTAATCCTCCGCCTGCGGCGCCGGCACACCGGGTTCTAGTCCTGGTCGGGGCGCTGGATTCTGTCCCGGTTGCCCCTCTTCCAGGCCAGCTCTCTGCTGTGGCCCAGGAGTGCAGTGGAGGATGGCCCAAGTGCTTGGGCCCTGCACCCCATGGGAGACCAGGATAAGTACCTGGGTCCTGCCTTTGGATCAGCGCAGTGCGCCAGCCTCAGCGCACTGGCCATGGCGGCCATTGGAGGGTGAACCAATGGCAAAGGAAGACCTTTCTCTCTGTCTTTCTCTCTCACTGTCCACTCTGTCAAAAAAAAAAAAAAAATTATCGCTCTAGATTGAGCTAATGCGTTATACCAAGGTATTATTTTATTCTTTTAAAAATTATTTTAGTTATTTGAAAGAGTTACAGAGAGAGGTAGAGCAGCTTCCTGCAGTGCCAGCATCCCATATGGGCACTGGTTCGAGTCTTGGCTGCTCCACTTCTGATTCAGCTCTCTGCTATGGCCTGGGAAAGCAGTAGAAGATGGTCCAAGTCCTTGGGCCCCTGCACCTGCGTGGGAGACCTGGAAGAAGCTCCTGGCTTTGGATCGGCCAGCTCTGGCCATTGTGGCCATCTGGGAAGTGAACCAACAGATGGAAGCTCTCTTTCTCTCTTTCTTTCTTTCTCTCTCTCTCTCTCTCTCTGCCTCTGCCTCTGCCTCTCTGTAATTCTGCCTTTCAAATAAATAAATAAATCTTAAAAAAATATTATATTGGGGCCAGCGTTGTGGTATAACAGGTAAAGCTGCTGCCTGTGATGCTGGCTGGCATCCTGTATGGGCTCCAGTTTGAGACCCAGCTGGGCCACTTTCAATCCAGCTCTCTGCTAATGAGCTTGGGAAAGCAGCAGAAGATGGCCCACATCCTTGGGCCTCTGCATCCATGTGGGAGACCCAGCTCCTGGCTTTGGCCTGGCCCAGCCCCAGCCCCAGCCATTGCAACCATCTGGGGAGTGAACCAGCGGATAAAAGATCGATCGATCTCTCTTTGTCTCTCCCTCTCTCTGTGCAATTCTGCCTTTTAAAAAATTAATAAATCTTTAAAAAAGAATATTATGTAAGAGAATAGGTTAACTACCATTTACAGATTGTAATTTTGGGTGTGGGATATATACTATGCAAGTTACTTTAACTCTTCTGTTCTCAGATTCCTTATAAAATCATCATGCAGGTTAAATGAAATAATTCCTATAAAAATACAATGTGACAAGCATTTAGCCTAGTGGTGAAGATACCAGTTCACATGTCAATGTCCCACATCTAAGTGCCCATGTTTAACACCCAGCAACTCTTAATTCTAGCTTCCTGCTAAGACAGATCCTAAAAGGCAGTGATGAAGGCTCAAATAATTGGGTTCCTACCAGCCATGTGGGAGACCTGAATTGAGTCCCTAGTTCCCAGCTTCAGCCTAGCCTAGTCTTGGATGTTGCTGGCATTTGGGGAGTAAACCAGAAAATGGGAGCTCATTCTTTTTGTCTTTCTGTCTCTCCAAAAAATTAATTAATAAATAAATAAAAAATAAAGGTACTATGGTACTTGGATGTATAACTTATATTACTTATATCCTTAATATACTAAATTTCTCTAAAAGATTCATAACACTTGCATTATTAACCAAAGGCAAAAAATAATAAAGCTCTATTAGTCTGAGCTTCTAAAATAGTTTCAAATTTATTTTTTATATGAAGGAAGGAAAGTTGACACTCCGAAGTACAATAACTGGACTGAATCAAACTATCCTAAATGATACAACAAAGAATTTAATCTAATCATACCTTATTATTGTCTATTATTTCCAATGCCTGTTGATGTTTTTGGTAGAGTGGGTGTCTTCTGTCAGGCTTACTCTTAAAGTGTGGCTTCTTTTTCACTGGATCTTCAAGTTCAAATGTGGGTGAACTGGTATCCAATAGTTGTGAAATATGTGGCGCAAATATGAAAGGCTTAAACACAGATCTAGAAGAAACAGTCTTTATTAAATTGCCATGTCAATATATTTTATAATATTTAGCATTATTTTTTTTTTGACAGGCAGAGTGGACAGTGAGAGAGAGACAGAGAGAAAGGTCTTCCTTTGCCGTTGGTTCACCCTCCAATGGCCGCCGCGGCCGGCGCACTGCGGCCGGCGCACCGTGCCAATCCAATGGCAGGAGCCAGGAGCCAGGTGCTTTTCCTGGTCTCCCATGGGGTGCAGGGCCCAAGCACCTGGGCCATCCTCCACTGCACTCCCTGGCCACAGCAGAGGGCTGGCCTGGAAGAGGGGCAACCGGGACAGAATCCGGCGCCCCGACCGGGACTAGAACCCGGTGTGCCGGCGCCGCGAGGCGGAGGATTAGCCTAGTGAGCCGCAGCGCCGGCCAATATTTAGCATTATTTAAGGCTTCTAAGATTTTCTATAGTTAGCAGTTTCTATTAATGATGCTATACACTAATGGTTCCTGTCATACTGGTTACACTTACGCTTGTCTTCCTTGGGATATGCTTTGGAACTTTATATAGCCTTATATTCCAGTGAACTTAACAGAGGGCCTGACACATAAACAATGTCAGTGAAGCAATAATTTATCATGTC